GATTCTCGTAGGGGGAACATCCCAAGTGATAGGACGAACACCTCTGCTGGAAAAGGATGCAAGTAGTGATCGAAGCTTGGTTGTTATCAGTGGTGCTATTTTCGGCCACCTACCATGAGAAATAGCCTAAATCACGTTTATGAAATGTTACACCGGATCGTTGCATACAGCTTGCAATTGTTCGGTTTAGTGACTACTCGTGATGTTTACAGGCCCGACCCGAAACTAGCATAATTCATGGAAATCCATAGGAGACGACCCGGAACCAAGAAAAAATGACCACACTCCTTGCAAAGTACTTTACGTCCCCGCATGTTCTCCCTAGTGTTTTTTGTTTGGGGTCTTCGGTCAAAAAAGCCAGAAACAACTCGATCTTTGATTGGCCTTCCTGGCCCCACACGGCAGAAGCCAGCCCACCTTTTGGTTTGTCGGAGTTGAAGAACCATCTCGAGTATTCACGGGACTTTGTCGCTTTTGGGCGAAGCTGCGAAACACTAACATTCACTAGGGGGGGAAACAAACACGCAAGAACCGTGTTCAGATCAAACAGTTCGCCTCCCAATATTGTTTTTTTTTTTTTTTTTTTCTGGTTTGTTGGTCTCGGAAGGGAGCCCAGAGACCAAACAACCAACCCTGGGAGGAGAATATCTTGGTGAGTGTTTTCTTTGGTTTGTTTTTTTAATGGTATTCCGGCCGAAAAACCAAACCAAAACTCGAGTTTCGGTTGGTTTTTGCTCCACCCAGACGGGAAACCAACGATCAGTAAACTCAGGGTACTGTCATGCCACAGGTCTTATTGTTCTCGTTCAGGCTGACTTGGAAGCCCCATTTTAGACGTGCAGTCCTTGTGTGTGTGTGTGTGTGCACGGGTGCGCAACATTCTCTTGTAGAAAATATCGCCCCTGCGACAAAGCTATCCCTGGATGGAACATTGCGAAGTGATCTGACCTGCTGCAAAATCACGACCATATTTAGGAATTCCGAAATAGGCCTGGGAGACGAAAGATCGCTGCAAGGACGAGTACTTTGAGCCGACTGTCAGCAGCATGTACAGAGCTGTAGCCACTCAGCCGCATGAATCGCTGCACTCAGCCTGTTTCAGCAGGTGTCGTATGTTGATTCAGCGCTCGTTGTCGGCATTCCTGGGTGGTGCAGCTCACCTCCTCTAGCCGACAAGATTAGGTACAACAAACACAGGCCAAAGCGATCTGAGGGGCATGCGCATAAGATCTTCAACCCGAGACCTGAATGCCTTGCCGTATGTGCCGCTTCTCGAGAGAAGTTAGGGAGCCTGCCGACCACATCTCCTACATCCCGAAACCCTAAACTAGCAAAAGAGGGTTGAGGGTTGTGGCCGACCTACCTCTGGTCCCTCAGATGAACGGCAACGAGCTGGTACCGTACCACAAGTCCAAAACAAGGCGAGAGCTTTTCTTGCATCTGACGGGCGGCTCATCTTTGCTTTGCGGAGCTCCGAAAAGGTAGGTCAGCTCTGATGAAGGGGACGATGTGAGCCTGAACCACCGCCTAAACGGCCTCAACTATCCCCCAAAGGGTTTAGGGTTTAGGGTTTAGGGTGAAGCTCAAAACGCTAAACCCTCAATCCTGAAAAGCCCAAATATCCCAATCAGCGTGAGAGGCTCGGTATGATGGACGTGACACACTCCGGCCCAATCCTGGCCGTCGACGCACCTGGTGTCATCAGGATGGGCAGTGCTCTGGGCCTTTATTAACTTTCTGGTTCGCTTGGGTAACGATGAGGGCAATATGCCTTGTACATCCCCAATAAATAACCCTCTTTGTTCGTGTTCTTACCACTTCGCAGCTGAGCGGGTCCTAAAAGGCAAACTCTTCATATTCGTTGACAACTGGCAGTTCCAAAAAAGGTGCCTACGTTCTGCCGTCCACCAACGTCGTGTCAGATCCTGAGAATGCTGCGGACGCGCCGTGAACAACAAGGCCGCATGTCTGTGACTCCCGGTACTTGCAGCCACTACAACCTGGATTGCTGAGGTTTCAAACAGATAAGACGCCTGCTGATCGTGATGAAAGGCGCTTGTCCGTACACGAGGTGCGGCTCCAGGGAGGAAGGGCTGAAGAGAACGGGCTTTTGCGGCTGGCCCTTAGATTCAGCATCTCTGTGGCATTGTGGTTTTCGCAGAACCTGAGCATACTGTAGCCGCCCGAGCGACTGACTGCATCTGACAGCCAGAGAGGTCCTGACCCTAAATTTCCATGGGCTCTGGGCCTTCATAGCACTCGAGCCTTCCCCCACATCTTCCAGGCCGCTGAGACAACAGGCCTCCCCATCCCACCCTAAACCTTCTAACCCTTTAACCCTACAAGCCTACGAACCCTCCAAGCCCTCTAGTTCCCCCAGTTTCCTGGCAGGATGTAGAGCCAAGCCAGCTCGCAACGCTGCACGACTCCGACATCGCCGCTGGCCTCGAAGGGTGTTGGAGTTTCGTAGTGTGCGTATCAATTTTCGGACTAAAGCTGGGGCTCAGGTGTGGCTGCTTCATATTCGGTCTGACTTAACTTGCGTGAGACAGCTCTGAAGCAGGTAGTGTTCTCAAGGTCCAAGAAGACGGTATGAGTATCCGCCAGACATGTACTCATGTGCTCTCGCCTCCAACGTTTCAGCATGCGTGGATAGCAGGCCGTATGAACATCATGAGCCGAAAGACGCCACCTTCGCGCAAAATAGATGCCCTTGAATACGAGTCACCCCCCCTTCCTCCGTGTAGGCTCGCGGGTCTAAGCGCATTGCTTTATAGGGCTGAAGGGTTGTTCCCACGCTCATGACTCAGGAAGTGTTCTTCTTTGGTGAGCTGGAGCAGCCTGAGGACCGCAAGGGCTCCACTCGCGTCTCACTCAAATTCCGGAAGCGTTCGGTGAACTGCTGGAGTCTTTGAATTCAGTCGGCCGAGTTCTGCCCACGCAGGACGGACCATGGGGCATAGAGGCTGGGAGCCTGAGAGTTTCAGCTTTTGAGGGTTAACGCTCCTCCCGTTGAGCCTTAAGACTTTTGGGCTTTCCGAACCGGCATTAAATGCCTGTCAAGTAAGCCACGACTTTTAGGCGAAAGCCTCCTCCGGTCACAGGAGCTCAATTGGTGGAGATTGCTCTAAATGTAGCGTTCCCTTTTCGGGGTCCCCATGGCTCAACCTGTTTATCGCCACGGTCCCGTACTGGAACACCCCTTCTCCTACCCCCCCGCCTAGCGAAAGCATCGAGGTTAGACGTAGTTCCATGGCCTACTATAGCCCCCTTAGGAATTGTTTTGTATCAGTATGTATATAAAACCACCCAAAAGGTTCAGAACTAGATTTTTATTCAGGTTCCAAGGAGAGTATTGTCTTGCGAGAAGACGAAGCCGACCTCAGCCTCCCCGTGGCTTCATGAGGCCTTCGAGTAGTGCCGCGGCGTCTCAGGCGGGCATGCTTGAGGTTGCCATCTCTGGGATGATTCTAGGGAATTCTAGGGAGTTTTTGAGCTGTGCTGAAGGCCCGTGCCATCTCGCGACGGGCTATTCAGGGTCTACTGTTTTAACCCAATTCAAGGCTAGCTTTCTCCCCACCCGGTTTCCTTGACTCTCAACAAGGAATTCCAACCTTGCTGTCAGGACGAGACGGGCGCCCAGCAACCGACCAACAAGGGATCAAGAGTCCAAGCGTGCCCGTAAACATAGGAATTCCGGGACTTTTACAGCATCTATTATGATATTTTTTCTCGCTGAGCAAAGGGCTCGGCTTTTTGTAATGCTTCGCGCGGTCGATCTCAAAGATCGGATTGCGTATTGCGTTGGAGTCGACGGCCTAGAAATTAGTTATGTCGGCGTCCGAATGCAGACACACCAAAGGTGCCCGTACCTTATTGTGCTCACCTGCGAGTCGATAGTCGCACGAGATACATGAAGACCCAGACCCTACCAGATCCCTCGCGGCATAAAGATAGCTACGAGCCATGCCCCCCCCCCCCCCCCCCCCCGCCCACCTGCGGCGGTGTCAGAGCTTCTCGCTCGCTTTTAATTTCGGTTTCACCAACATGTTCGTTCCTCACTCTGCTGCTCTAAAGCTTATGGTGGACATCCTAACAGCCCTGGCAGATGTGAGTCTTGAGGTGCGCAACAGTTTCTGAGATGCAGTTTTGGTAGGCTGGTCTGAAGAGTCGCATGTTGGTAGAGATCAGGCGACTCGCGTCTCACAACGGGTGAACTGATGGGCTTCTGCACCTTCGTTGCCATGTTGTGGCTGGCGAGATCCCAACATCCGCAACCCCAGATTCTCTGCAAAATTGAACTCCGCATGGGTTTTTCTCTTCTGACCCTGCGGTGGAACGCAGAAGCCTAGGCTTAACGACGGGAGAAACTATCTTCACATCCTCGGCCGACCCGGAAAGAGTGTGCAGATGCGCCATCATACGCCTGCTGGCTAGAGGTACCTTATTGGGGTCCTTGTTACAAGGGGATCCTACTATTTAGGGGTCTATATTCGGGGTCCCGTACTATCGTAAACCCCCATGTCCAAACATGCCACTGTCCAAACATGCCACTAGCAACGCCGAGTGTAGGCCTTGCCCGAAATCGCTTGTTCTGTATTTGCCTGATTCGGTTCCCATTTCAGTACAGCATCTAGCCGACTGGTGAGCTCCAAGCCCTTCACCCTAAAAACCCGATGCCCTACAAAAACACCCTGCACCCTATAAACCCTAAGGCTCTAAGGCCTATGGTTGACAAGCTACTCGGGTCCTTGCCGGCTGTCGATCCTGCGGTACTTCGGGTTGCTCTTGATTCGCAGCCAGGCGCCTCGAAGCACATGCACCCGAGGCCCGAAACACTAAATCCGAAACCCTCCACCCTAGAGAATGCCGTATATGACCCCCCTGCCCAAGCTGAGACCCCAAAACTGAGCCCGAAGGCTGTGGGTTCAACCCACCCCTGACCCCATCGTCACCCCAAACCTCAAAGCCCCTTGCCATGGCCTTGGTGAGCTTGGGCCATGGCCTCCGAGCTCCTCTCGCGCCTCGCGGAAGCCCCGGGGCCGCCAGAGGCAACGGGGGCAAGCCCGTACAGCTAGACGTTAACTCAGGGTACTTGCGCCAGTTCTCACACCCACAACGCTCTTTTTCTAGGGCTTTAGCTGGTAAGCCCTAAACCCTAAAGCCCAAACTTAAACTCGAAATTAAGGGTTTCAGGAGCTGAGGTGCTGCAGTCGGGGCTAGGGACACGAGTCTGAGTAAACCTCAGACCTCAACCAGCACATCCAAACACACCGAAACCATAAAGCGTGGGTTCAGGGCTCAGGTTTCAAGGCTTCAGGGTCTAGAGTTTCGGAGCCAGGATTTAGGGGCTGGATAGGACCCACCCTTTGCAGCACAGCCAAGTCACGAGCTGAGATCGTGGTTGCGAGGATGGGACCAGAGACGATTTCCCTGATTTCCCTGCAATCCCGTGTGAGTTTTGGGGCAACCCTGAAATCTAGAATCTTGCATCTGGAACTCCAGGAAGCTTTTGCATGATCTTATGGGTGTTGAGGTTTTAGGTGTCGTATGGCTGTGCCGATGCAGGTTTCAAAAGATCACGCCTGGTGTCCTGTCAGGTTGTCAGCTTGAGGTGTTGGCTGAGAGGGCCTGACCTTGTATTTTACCGGAGCTCAAGCCAGAGACCCACAGAAATCTACACCCAGTCCTCCAAAGTCCCCAACTTAAATCCTGGACCCTAAACCTTTTGGCAGATCCTGGCCCTCACCTTCGAGTTTGCTGCCAATCTGGACGCAGCCTGCGCCGTGACTGCTCTCGAGGCCAACGGCACCCATTTTGGGGTTCTTATACCTACAATGAGAGGATGATGGCTTTTCGCGGTCTATGAGGGGTACCCCTGTTTTTGGTTTACATTGAAATGCTCCGGAGCAACAACAGCGTCTTGCATGGCTTGCAAGCCCTTAATCTTCTTCAACCTGACCCTGAAGCAAGCCCTCCCTCGTTCATTCCCAGTGCCTTTTCGTTGGACACCTTGACGCACTTCCAATAAAGGTAAATGCACTATGCACTGCCCCTCTCATGCAGGCCATTGCCAAGCACCCCGACCGAGCAAGCGTCCAAAGAGACATGCGCTTCGCAAAATTGGTCTTTGCCAGGGGCCCAGTTAGGAAAGCGCTCTATACGTTGAGAAGAGCTGTGGAAGGGGTGTCCCTACACCCTCAAGCCCCAGATCCATAACCCTAAACCCTAAAGCCTTCGGGGATGGAAATGTATGTCACTGTGGTCTCGCAAGACTTTCGACATGGAACTTTTCTTGAAGGCAGGGAAAGCGCTGACAGAGTTTTGGTGGTTGAGGGGTCATTGTTTAGGGTTGAGGGGTGCTTACTTTTGTTGTCTTGGCTGACCACGTCGCTTCCGTCTCTCTTCTTTTCCTTCAACATGTCGGAGGGGATTCGCTTGTTTCGTGAACTGGGTCATTATCTAAAGGGCTGTCGCCCACAGCCGGGCACGCCCACCAGCAGCAGGACAACGGCAGCAAGCACAGCAGCAACGACAACAAGAACAACAACAACAACAACAACAACAACAACAACAACAACAACAACAACAACAACAACAACAACAACAACAACACCACCACCACCAACAACAACAACAACAACAACAACAACAACAACAACAACAACAACAACAACAACAACAACAACAACAACAACAACAACAACAACAACAACAACAACAACAACAACAACAACAACAACAACAACAACAACAACAACAACAACACAACAACAACAACAACAACAACAACAACAACAACAACAACAACAACAACAACAACAACAACAACAACAACAACAACAACAACAACAACAACAACAACAACAACAACAACAACAACAACAACAACAACAACAACAACCAACAACAACAACCAACAACAACAACAACAACAACAACAACAACAACAACAACAACAACAACAACAACAACAACCAACAACAACAACAACAACAACCAACAACAACAACAACAACCAAACAACAACAACCAACAACAACCAAACAACAACAACAACAACAACAACAACAACAACAACAACAACAACAACAACAACAACAACAACAACAACAACAAAACAACAACAACAACAACAACAACAACAACAACAACAACAACAACAACAACAACAACAACAACAACAACAACAACAACAACAACAACAACAACAACAACAACAACAACAACAACAACAACAACAACAACAACAACAACAACAAGCGACGGCGCGCCAACGAAGCCTCGATGATGCCACCCTGGCCACCCACAAAACAACGGCGCGCGCGCGCGCGCGCGCGCGCGCGCGCGCGCGCCCGCGCGGGAACTGGTGCGTTTTCCGCGCGCGCGCGGCGCGCGCGCGCGTGTGCGCGCATGTCGAGTGCCATGTTATGGAGTTGTGCCAGCATCCTTCGAAATCCTGCCGCCGCCCGAAACCCTTTCCGTATCCACTGATGCTGCTGATGCTCGCCCCCCGGTTTTTTAAAGAGAAACGAAGCCTCGATGATGCGCGCCCTGGCCCCCCGCCCGGCCGCGCATCATGAGCATCAGCGGCTCCGGCCTCCAGGCATGCATGGCTTATAGGAGCATATGCCGGCCTCAAAACGGAAATGTCCGTAACAGCACGAAAACCACGGTATTTACAGCGATTTCTGTGTTTTCCAAGCTCTCAGCCGCATCCGAAACCCAAAACCCAACCCGCTGATGCTCATGATGCGCGCTCTTGTGGGGGTCCTTTGCGGTGCCAATGCCACCCAAAAAACATCAGCAACGCGTATTTGGCCAAAATTGAAAAAGAGAGTCGATGATGCTCTCCGGGGTCGTTTTTGGGACCCCCCATGGGGCACCCAAAAAATGCGTCCAGGAGCCCAAATTCGGTGGCAAATAGCGCGTTTTTCGCGATAAAAATTGTACCTGAAAATTGATGCCCTTCGGGGGCCGCATTTGGGGCCGGATGTTGGGGAGCCAACCGGGTCGGCGGCTTAGCCGGCCCCCGTCATAGCTAAAGCTAGGGCTGGCGCCTAACGGCGTCGGACCACGGGCGTGCTCGCATTTAAGGGCTAACGCCGCTGCCGCCGACCCCCGTGGAACCGGGGGGTCGGTGCGCGTGTGGGGTCGGCCCATGCGTTTACGCATGGTTGTTTTCACATTCCATTTCGTATCGCAGATGTTTCCGATGCTTCTGACATTGCTTCCATTGTAAGGGAGGACGCGCCAGCAGACACAAACTAATCTTGTTTGGCGTCCCCCTTCCGTCATGCCCCCTCAATCTGTTCTACGTCCTTCGCTGGGTCGGGTTCCTTTAGGCATGGGGCCATTACCAGCCCCTGTTGCTCGACCATGCAGGTCATGGCAGGCTCCCATTTCGTCTCCAGTTCTAACCCCCTTTACGCTTTGAGTTTCTCTATCTGGCCCTTCAACAGTATCTGAACCAAAAGCAGGCTGCAGCGCGTCCTTCTTGAGCTTTGCAGCAGATTGGAAACAGTGGTATGCATCAGTGCTGTTTTATCTTCAATGTTGACGACATTGACGCGATGTTTGACATTGACGAAGCATCGCAGGCTAGTAGGGCGCTTCTCGCAATTGCTTGAACTTCCAGGAGATAGCATGTTTTCCAAAAGAAGCCAAACATCCGCGGAAGACGTGGAGCCGTGTCTGCAATTCTTGCATGGCAGACCGACGCTGCTACCGGTGCGGGCAAGTCCGGACAGAAGACATGTTCAGTGCACGGCAGTGGAAACGTGGCGGGAAGACAGGACATTGCAAGCGCTGCGCTCGGCAGTCGGCGGGAAAGCCGTGCCGGCTGAACGCGTCAGCTTCGATCGCGCGCGTCGCTTTGTGGGCAGCACGCGTCGGAAACGAACTGTCAACCAGGTGTGGAAGCAGGTCCATGAGATTCTCCGACAGAGAGACTCCCCGTCAGTGGGTGAAGACGGGGAGAAACGTCGGCAGCGACTCGTGTCGTCATTGGGTGAGGAGGGGGACAGCACGGATGTGCGTACGGTGGAGGCATGTTCCGTCGAAGCGACGCGGCCTCGACAAGCGCGACTGGTCGCGTGCCCAAGTTGCGGCCACGAAGTAAGGACGAGAGCACAAACGCGAGTGAAAAATCTCCACCGTCGTCCAGACGGCTCCGTCTGTCCGCAAGAGCAATGGTACCTCTCTGGCGTGAAAGAAATGAAAGGGACACGGCCCGGGTAGGGTCAGGTCGGGGTCAGGGGGCAGAGGTGAGTGCAGTCAGGGGGCAGAGGGGTAAGGGCCAGGGGCAAGGGATGGACTTCGGGTTTGGGAGGAGTCAGCGCACGGAGCGTTTTCGTGGGTTGGCGGTCACAAATCATCGGTTCTGAGCCCGACAAAAAAAGTGTTGGGGCGGAAGGGGGGGGTCCCTGGTGGGAGCGGAAGGGGGTGGGGTCGTCAGGTCGGGAAGGTCCCCTGATCGGACTTCGGGTTTGGGTGATGGACTTCGGGCTCGGGAGGAGTAGGGGGTAGGGGCAGGGCAAGTACGCACGGAGCGTTTTTGTGGGTTGGCGGTCAGAAATGGGTTCTCAACCCGACCAAAAAAGTGTTTTGGAATTTTTTGGGGCCGGAGGGGGGGGGTCTTTGGTGGGGGGGCGGAAGGGGTGGGGGTCGACAGGTCGGGTGGGCCCTGTCACCTGGGGTGGGGGTCTGGGAGGAGAAGGGGAAGTTCAGGAGGGGGGGGTGGGGGTGGGCAGGGTCAGGGCACGGAGGGCGGAGGGGTTGTCAGGTGGGGGGGGGTCAGGGAGGCAGGGGTGGGTAGGCAGAAAGGCCTAAATTGCAGGGTCAGGGGAAGAGGCGGTGGGGCGGGACGGATTTCGGGCTTGGGAGGAGTAGGGGGGAGGGGCAGGGCAAGCACGCGCGGAGCGTTTTTGAGGGTTGGTGAAGGATCGTCAGGATCTGCCTCTCATGTAGAAAGGTTCCGCTAGGGAAACGGAAGAAAAGGGGGTGGGGTCGTCAGGTCGGTGGGTGAGGGGTCAGCAAAATCCCTGGTCAGGGGGAGGGGGTGGGGGTGGGGTCGTGAGGGGGGGGGGGTTCGGGAGCGGTTAGATGATGGCAGGGGCAGAAAGGGGGGGAGAGGGGGAGTAAGGGTCAGGGGCAGGGACGGGTTTGGGTGATGGACTCCGGGCTTGGGAGGAGTAAGCACGCACGGAGCATTTTTGTGGGTTGGCGCAAATCGTCGCTGCGCGGAGCGTTTTTGTGGGTTGGCGGTCACAAATCGTCGGTTCTGAACCCGACAAAAAAAGTGTTTTTGAGGGCAAGCACGCACGGAGCGTTTTTGTGGGTTATCACAAATCTCGGTTCTGAACCCGACAAAAAAAGTGTTTTTGAGTTTGTTGGGGCCGGGAGGGGGGGTTCCTGGTGGGGGGGCGGAAGGTCGTCGGGTGGGGGGGGCGTCCCCGGTCCGGGGCGGAAGTGGGGTTTGGGTGATGGATTTCGGGCTCGGGAGGAGTAGGGGGTAGGGTTGGCGGGGGGGTCCTCTGGCGCGGGGCGGAAAGGGAGGTTGGCGGGACGGGGGGGGTCCCTGGTCGGTTCGGGCTTGGGAGGAGTAGGGGGTAGGAGCAGGGTTGGGGATCAGGGTCAGGGCAAGGGATGGACTTCGGACTTCGGGCTTGGGAGGAGTAGGGGGTAGGGGCAGGGCAAGCACGCACGGAGCGTTTTTGTGGGTTGGCGGTCACAAATCGTTGGTTCTGAAAACGACAAAAAAGTGTTTTTGAGCTTTTGGGGGCCGGAAGGGGGGGTCCCTGGTCGGGGGGGAAGGGGAGGGTGGGGGGGTCGTCAGGACTACCTCCCGTGTAAGGACGCACAGAGCGTTTTGGTGGGTTGGCGGTCACAAATCGTCGGTTCTGAACCTAACAAAAGTGTTTTTGAGTTTTTGGGGGCCGGGAGGGGGGGGTCCCTGGTCGGGGGGCGGAAGGGTGGGGTCGTCAGGTCAGGGGGGGGTCAGGGGGGCAGGGGGGAGTGAGGAGTAGGGGGTAGGGGCAGGGCAAGCACGCACGGAGCGTTTTTGTGGGTTGGCGTCACAAAGCGTCGGCCCGGAAAACGACAAAAAAAGTGTTTTTGAGCTTTTGGGGGCCGGGAGGGGGGTCCTGGTCGGGGGGGAAGGGGAGGGTGGGGGGGGGGGGTCGTCAGGACTACCTCCCGTGTAAGGGGCTTCCCGGGCGCTCGACCATTGCAGACCTTAATGATCTTAATGTCTCCATTCGGGGTCCTTTCCTTCACTATACCTCCCCGCACTCTGCAGCAAAGTCAAAAACCAACCGCACGCTCGTGGACACGTACACTAAACCCTAATCCCTCAACCAGACTAAAGGACCTCCACGCCTTGGCCCGGCGCCGTGGCTTCCGAAGTCGGCTCCTTCCCCGAGCGCTGGCGGCCGTGCGGAAGCTGGGCCGCTCGGTGGAGAAAGGTTCCCATCTGCAAAGTTGAGCCAGGTTTTAGCCTAACACAGGCAGGCAGGCAGCTGCCACTTGAAATTGCCAATCTACATAAGATGTTACCTTGTTTCCATGGTATTGGCGGCAATCCCCCCCCCAAGTAGCGGCCGTGTGCGGAGCCCCAGAAGTGGCTTAGCAACCAACACAGTGGTAGCTGCCGGAGCTGTCGTGAGCACGCAGTAGCTGGCTTCGAACTGTAGGAGCGTGGTCGAGATTGGTTGTCCTGGTAGCCAAGGGTTCCTTGTGAAGGCCTGCGACAGCCAGCCTTGGTTGGCGCGTTGGGCGCCATGGCTCTCGAAGTCTTTGATTCACGATGTGTGTGGCACACTTCTGCAAGGTTCGGGGGGCAAATGGGTTCACAGTATCCTGGAACTGTCCTGCAAGGTGTCAGCATCACCAACCGGATCGAGGAGCAGCCAAGAGATTCACACTGCTTCACATATTCAGGGCCCTAAACTTTGCAAGATCACTGTGCGCACATGTCGTACTGTGTGAGGAGCATATGTGCACTGGACTGCGGCGAGAGAACGATATCGACCGCGGAATAATGCACACGGGATGCACAACAACCCCTGTTGCGATGCAGTTGAAGAGGCCAAGGTGGAGGGAACATATCGACCTAAATGGCGGCTGCCTCAACTAATGCTTCCTGTAGTCTGAACTGCTCGCAAGAATTCGTCAGCTTGCGCAAGCTGTCTGTGGAGTCAGTCGGTGGGCTCAGCAGGCAGAGTCTTTATCATAGTACGTTTGCCGAGCCGGTACGAATGTGCGTGGTGTGCTGCTTTTCTGTAGTCGACTTCTTGTGTGAGTGCAGGCAAGCAGCCTGATCTTGCGCACAGCAGACCTACACACTTGCACCTCAACTCCTCAGCGGCCCCCCCAAGAATAGAACAGAATCCAACAGCATGCGTGCTCAAACGCAACGAGCCCTTGCTCAACAAAGGCCCGGAAGCCGAGAAACCCTGCCAGCCAAAGACCCCGAGTGTTGCTCCGTCTCCAGCTCGAGCGCTTACTTTCCAAACTTTCAGCTCTGAGGCCTGAACGTTTCTAAGCCCGAAAAGCCCTAACAATACAAGGTTTGGGGTCGGCCCCATCAACCCTGAAACCCTCAGCCCTAAACCCTAAATCAGAACCCTAAACCCTAACCCTAAACCCTAAACCCTAAACCCTAAACCCTAAACCCTAAACCCTAAACCCTAAACCCTAAACCCTAAACCCTAAACCCTAAACCCTAAACCCTAAACCCTAAACCCTAAACCCTAAACCCTAAACCAGATCCTCAGATCCCCTTGTTTTGAGGAGCTGGCACCCCCCACCCTGGCACAAGTCCTCGCCGACCTGGCAATGTGCGGAGTGGGTCCGCTGCCATTGCTGGAGGCCTGCGGGATGAGAATTACTTTGTCAGAACATGTGTATTATATTTCAAGCTGTTTCAACTTATTTTGTAAATATGTTGAAATTGTATTAAAATGTGAAACAGTTTTTCAAATTATGTTCAACTTATTTTGGATTGCTTTTACATTGTATTGTCTACTCGGAAATCATTCTATTCTGTACCGTTTTTTTAAGTATTTTATTATATGATTCTCGTGTTTGTGGTATCCTTAGGGATATTACTTATATGAGTTTTTTGAACTATATGAACTATATTGATGATGTGATTTGTTTTGAGTATTGACTAGATTGGTTGTTGTTATATATGTGTATATGTATGTATATATATATGTATAGAGTTAGTCATGCTACTCATTTTGAGATGTTAGTTTTATACAGTTGTGCTACTTGTTTTGAATATACTAAGTATATAAGTTATGCTGTTATGCTACTAGTTGTTAGCAAAATTAGCATTGTATTGATTATCTGAATTGCTTTAGTGAAATGGTATGATTACATGATTGCATTATTCGGTTTTGATGTTATGGTAGAATGTTACGGCTATATTCCTATAAACTACGCCGAGGCGTCTGTAACCACCAGCTCTAAAAGGGTAAGGGGCTTTTGGGTTCCCACAAGAATCGATCGGTCAACCATTGGAGAGAGGGAGGCTCAAGGCCTGGAGAGTTCTCGCTCGCTCTCTCCCTCCCTCTCTCTCTTTCTTTCTCCTCCTCTCTATCTCCATTTCTCCAGGACCATCCTTGTACCTCCGTCTATCTAATGGCCCGCCGATCGATCACACAAAGCACAACGGTCAAGGTACGCGTGCAATGTCTCGGAGGTAGCTGCAAGGATATCATCGACAGAGCATGTGCTAGAACACACTGCAGGACACGCTTTGCGTGCCAATGTCCTGTCAAGAAACAGATGCTTTGCAACCTCGCCTCCCAGTCATAGCCCTAAACCCTAAGCCCGAAACCCTAACCCCTAAGGGCCTTCGGATGTCTGGGCGTGCATCATGAATCGTAACGTGTTGGATGATGGGGTAGCAAAACCACTCGGTCGATAGACGGGCTACAGTAGACGAGCCGATTACTTCGGCAAATGTTGGAGGTTCGGCGGGCTAGACAGATTGGACAGAATCAGCAGGTTGTCAAGCCTAGACCCGCAGACAGGCAAACCGATGTGCGAGTGGACAGACGCGTAGGTACCCAGAACTTACACAAGTGATGAACGCTCCTTACTTATACTAAGGATGCAATGATGGTGGTGGGAATAGAAAAGTAGACCCCACACCCAAGACCCTAAACCCTAAACTCTAAACAGAAGACATGCGGATCAGCGGTTCGGCAGACCGGTAGACAGAAAGAGAGGCGAACGAATCGGGCCAAGCAATGCCAGGAGACGCGGTAAGCAAAGGAGGCAGCCAGAGAAACAAACGAGAATCGACAACAACTCCTCTGTCGGAGGCCTTGACTGCTGCGCTGTCACAGTCGCTCCACAGCTGTGATGGCCGTGCAGTGGGTGAGGCCCGGCTGTTTTGAATGGCCCGGGACCTTGACACTTGCATACGGCCATCAACGCAGTGCAGCCGGATTTGGGATTCCTCCCTTTACCTGCCTCTCTTCCTTGTTCTGTCTTTGCCAGGTCGCTTGGGCCCTTTCAGTGTTACGTTTCAGATCCGAGCAGTCGTGGCCTGAGAAGCAGAGAAACAGAGAAACACAGGGTGAGAGAGAGAGAGAGAGAGAGGGCGAGGGAAGAAAGAGAGAGGAGCGAGCTCGCGATGAAATTGTGCTGACTGGGACTCGAACCCATGGTTGCACATGGGCTTCTGCAAAGCTGCACTGCGCCATGAAGGTGTCTAGCGGCCCTCTTTGACGTTACGTCCGACCTCGGCAGTTTTCCGGCCTGCAGCCCGGGTTTGGAACTTCTGCCGCGCGGATGCCTGCCATCTTCCCCAAAGCCCCAAGCCTCTTCAACGACCACAAGGTGGACGCGCTGACGAAGATCCTCTGGTGCTTGGATAGTTTTGGCCACTCACCCGGCAACTAAAATAACTAAGGCTTCGGGGCCGGATTTGAGGTCCCAGGTAGTTGCTGGGGATGGCCAGGAGAACTATGGTAGAGCTATGGTAGAACCCTGTGTTTGCGATGAGTTTAAATGCGATACTTTTGTGTTGCTGCGAAGCCTTAGAGCATGGGCGCAGCTCTTGTAGTAAGCTCTTGAAGGCAAGCCGTACGGCGACCGCGGTCTCCGCTAAAAGAGTGCTCATCTGGAGATCATACAACAAAAGTATGAAACCCGGAGCCTTTCAGCCACTTCTTCTAATGTGAAGTGAACACATAGATCTTATCTATTTTATCTACCCATCTACCTATGACAGATATACAAATGCACCCTTGATACCCTTAGAGAGCCCGCTAAGCCCTGGCCGAGGCAAGCGCGCGCAGACTGAGGATCTCGCACTGCGGGCAGCGCGCCTCATGGACGCCTCGCATTCCGAGGCATCTGGGAGGCCGGATGGTTTTGGGTTTAGGGTTCATTGGCTTTAGGGTTTAGGGTTTAGGGGTCGAGGTTTGAGGGCTGCAGCAGGCACTTTGGGTCCACTCAAGGATCGCAGCCAGAGGCTCCGGAGCTTTGGGTCTGGCGGATGTTTGAATTCGGCGCTGGGGTTGTAGCCATGTGAGGATGTTGCAATTTTTCGGCAGTACTCTACCTGCTGCCACTTTAAGGATCTGGTCGGATGTGACGAAATTGTACGTAGTGTAATGTCATGTTAGAGCCCATGTGACGTTTTCCTTAGCTTTTTGCAATGTATGAAGGAATGCAGGTGTAAACGCCTACGAAATCCAGACCCCTATGTTGCATTGTTGAGCACATGCCCGTTTTACGAACTGCTTGGGGCTTCCCAGAGTCTTCCTTGTGTCATCCCTCAACCCTATACGTACTATTCACCCCCCAAAAACCACAACCCTTGCCAAGTCTGTCCAAGCGAGACTGGAGGCTGAAGCTGTTGACCTCCATCAGCATCCTTGGGTCTGCGCAGACCTTGCAAGGCAGATGCGGGGAGATTTTTGAGGAGGTTGTGGCCATTGTAGACTCTGAAGGGATCCAGCTGGGCGTGGCGTTTTGGGGTTGGGGGGAATTACCTGGTGATTTGAGTGTCTTTGGGCCGCAAGAAGATCCTCGTGATGTCATGCAGACTTGGCCCTCACCCTGTATGAGTGAATTTTCTTGTTCGCCTCTTTTCAGGAGATTTCGACCAGCAAGTTCTCCAGCCACTGGCCACATCCCTGTCAAGGCCAGGTATGTTGGGTCCAAAGACTCGCTAGGTCCGCGCGATTGACCGCTCAGAAACATGTGGGGCGCCATGAACCTTCCTTCAGACCCCTCCGCGCCTGGAAGGCTCGCCTCAGGCGCAGCCTTTGGGCCGTGTATGGATTTGCCGGCCCCTCATCTAGGGCCTCGGCACACGGCCCGAGCTCTGCGAGCGCTGGGGGTGCAGGTGCCGTCTGAAACACTCCTGCAGAATCTCATGTCATCTCACGGCCCTACATATTCCCTTAAAGGGCATATATAGAGGGCTAGTTCCCTGATTCGCTTCTAGGAACCAGGGGGTTGTTGGAGGTCTCCACCTTCGAGAACCACAACCTCCCGAACTGGGTCGTCGAAGCCCGGACTCTTGTTGCGGAGGTGTTCGGCGAGGAGCCTCGGCGATCCACCACGCAGTATGTTGACGTGCTGCTCTCGTGCTGGGAGTCACGGTGAAAGCAGTTGCGCCCGCAGCAATGAACTCAGCAGCATCTGGGGCGCCAGCTAGAGCACCCTCGGCCTTGAAGATACAGGAAGATGGCAACCCTAAACCCTAAACCCTAAACCCTAAACCCTAAACCCTAAACCCTAAACCCTAAACCCTAAACCCGAACAACCTAAATCCTCCCAACTCCGTAGGGCGCAGGGCGGGTAGGCCGGAAGGCCCTGAGCTGAGCTGAAAACCCGGGCCCTGGTCAGGAGGGCCCGCTGCCCATGCTGCCCGTGTGCAAGGTGCCCCCCTTGTATGTGCCTCTTGATGTTGCAATTGGGTTTAGGGTTCAGGGATTAGGGTTTAGGGTTTAGGGTTGACATGTCTGAAGAATAGTATCCGGTTGCGACAGTCAGATCCCAATCCCTCAGCTCTAAACCGCAATTTTGGAGCTGGCGCTGCCCCCGCTCTTGTCTTGCGCCGTGCTAGGCCGTTGAACCGCCGAGGGCGAAAGCAGGGAACATTCTACAAACAAGCCCCAAGCTCTGTCTGAATCCATCCCTGGAACCCTAAACAGTAAGCCCTGAACCCTGATTTCTAAACCCTGACATTCCCAGGAGAAGTCCAAGATTCCCGTGGTGGATCAGGACCCTGGGATGGGCAGCCGAGTTGTTTCTTCTCACAGCTTCTTCTAACTCGCTCAGGAGACACTCAGACGCGAAGCCTAACCCCAAACCCGTCTCGCAATGAGCCATCGCGAAACTGCGACCTCCACAGAGATCATGGCAAACTCCCTCGCATGCTGGTGTCAGGAGGCGTATGCCGAGAGTATCACGCGGTTCGGGGTGGACAACTTTGGCAAGATTGGAGGCGGGATGCTGTGTGTATGTAGGATAGACTTCAGTTCGGCCTTGTTGCATGAGAGTCTACGGCGATCCCTACATGATCTGCGGCTTGCATGAGTTTCTGTTGGGACTCCTCCCTACCCCCCTAGACCGGAAAGTTGTGTGCCACCTTTGCCATCCTTGCCCAGGACGCTGCCTGATGAACCAGTTGGGCATTGGCCGGGCGGAGGCCTGCAGTGGAGTTCAGTGTGACTTCAGTACGCCTTTCTGCGTATTCCAAGAATGTCAGCATAAGAATACAACCAAGAATAGGAATCAGAGAAAGAAAAAACTAACACCAAGAACAAGCACAATCATCACAATGACAATGACCATACGGCGGTTTCGCAGCCCTTGCCTGGATAGGCCCTTGAGATACTTTTTGAATCCCCCTCTTTGAATCCCCCTCCCCCCCCTACACCCTGCACCCCAAACCCTAAACCATTGCAACCCTAAACCCTAAACCCTAAACCCTGAACCCTGAACCCTGAACCCTGTGAACCCTGAACCCTAAACCCTGAACCCCAAACCTCAAACGATTTTTTCAGAGGGTTTAAAGGCAGTAAACCCTAGACCCTAAACCCTGAAACCCCTAAACCCCAGTTGCCAAGATGCCAGGAGACGTGGCTGCAGAAGGTCAAGCAATTCCTGAGGGCTTGGACTGAAGGCGCAGTTTTGGTTCTAGGGTTTCGGGTTTAGGGTTTAGGGTTTAGGGTTTCGGGTTTACGGTTTCGGGTTTAGGTTTTCTTGGGGAGCTTGGAACATATCTGGGGGTTTCCGACAGTACGGGTTTCCGGAAATAGGGGTACCCACACCCACACACGCACACACCCATACACCCACACACCCACACAGCCGCACACCCACACGCCCACACGCCCACACGCCCACACGCCCACACGCCCACATGCCTACCTGCCCGCCCACCCACCCACCCTCTCTCTCTCTATGTCTGTCTGTATGATATATATATATATATATATATATATGGATATATACATATAAAAACACATATGTGATGCACTCACTGATGCACTCGGCCAGCTTTTGAAGGTATCTGATTGTGTGACGGAGTGCGCGGGATGTGCGCGGCAGTTCGGAAGCCAAGAAAGCCGGCACGTAGCCCCTCACGCAATGGCGTCGTCGGTAGCAGACATTTTCGCACTAGACTGGGTAGATGTCACCGTGGCCGCCAAGCTGATGCAGCTCGACTCGACGTGGCGAGGCAGCATGCTAAGATGGCTGACGGCACAGAGATCTGTCGTTCTCTCAGATTCAACGGATGCCGTGCTCACTTGGGTGAGTCGCAAGTGCCCAAATGTTCAGTCGCTGGATATCAGCGGTTGTAGAAAGTTGACCACGGCTGCTGTGGTGGATGCCGTCCGGCGGTGCCTGTTGCTGAAGACCTTAATCGCCGTGGGATGCCAAAGTCTCGGGTACCCTGCCAATGGCGACACCTTGCCCGGTTGGAAGGCCATCAGAAAGGTCAGAGGAGACTTGGAAGTGGTGGGCCGCGGCTCCCGCTTGACGATCCGCGCAATGTGCCCGTTCGACGGCTCCGAAGTCTGGTTCCAAATCGCAGAGTACACGGTCTTGTCCAAACTGACCAATGTCTGGTGCGACCGCAAGGGGATGCACCCATCCCAGGTTCGCTTCTGCTATGACGGCGAACGCATCAGTCCAACCGACACTTGTGCTTCGCTAGGTCTAGAGGAGGGCGACATGCTGGAAGTGTTTCCAGAGCAGACCAACATAGGCCAGTGGGAGCCGGCCCCCGAGGCTCCTGTCACGCAGATTGATAGGCTGCTGTTGGGACAGGTGGAGCCGGAGGACTTGCAGCAGGAGGCGGTCCTTGCCATCGAGCGCACGGTCTTGCGGGCGCCAGGCTCGTGGTCGAGGAGGGCTTCAAGGGCTTCCTCCACAACAGCTCCATGTGTGTCGCGGAAAGTGCTGGATCATGAGCAGTGTGCAACGCTCGTAGCCTGGACAGAGGAGGCCTTCCGCGAAATGCCTAGCTGCCAGCTGAATGGATATCACGACTTCCAGAGGCAAATAACAGCCTCCCAGCTGGACCGGCTGACGGGTGGCAACACCAGCAGGGCCCTCATAGCCTGTGCAGAAAGTGTCCTGGATGGTCAGGAGGTGGAAGCGCCCTACTTCGTCCTGCGCCGCCACGCCGCCAGTGCTGCGCAGCTTCGGATCCCCTTCCATTGTGACTCAAGCCTGGCAGTGGTGAACCTGAACTTGACACCTTTCTGCAAGTCCTGCATGTTTGTAGTTCCCCCCCTGAAAATCGCAAGTGTTTTAAGGCCGTGATTTCGGGGCACTCGTTCGTGTGAGCAAGTGCCGTGCTTCCAGGAATTCTGGGTACGATGGTGGCAAGCTCATGTTCGTGCACAACTCTCAGCTCGTTTACCCTGAGCGCCCTGCTGGCTGGGCGACTGCCCACAACCAGACCGCGATTCACGGCGTCTCCCGAATAACAGCTGGAGTGCGCTACAACCTGCTGGCAGCCTTTGAGGCCAAAGTCAACTAAAAGGTAGGTTTACCAAGAGGAATGGCTTCCAACAAATCATACGAGCTTTGTAGTAGCTTCGTGTTTGCAAAAGGGGGAGGTTGCTCATCCCGCCCCTAGGTAGGAATGCTGTGCATGTTCCGTTCTAGTAAGTTTTTTGGGTTCAAGAGTGTCATGTTTAGGAATCTTTTTCAGAGGGTTGAGAGGCCAACAGGAGTCTCATGGCTAGCCATTTCGAGTCTGAAGACTCCAGTCCTGAGCGTTTGCCCGCAGCTAAGACAGAGGGCTTCGGACCGTTTAGGGTTTCAGGTCAATCCCGTAAAGGTTCCCCTTCATGTACTCCGAATATGGCCCTTATTTTCCCTTAGGGCTCCTTAAAAAGGGACCCCAACACCCAAGGGTACAACATTCAGGGTCCAGCGTAGAACCCCCTAGTTTAGGGCGTTTGGGGAAGCAATCGGCCCGAGGCCGGTGCGCCAAAACGCACGACACCCCCGCCCGCTTTGTGGAAGTACCATCCGGGCGAATTTGGGCAGTACAGATGCCTACGGCAGCCACAGATGGAAGCCAAAATGCTCCGATTGGGGTTGAGATTTGGGGTTGAAGATTGGGCTGCAATCCTCCGATCCTGAGCCCAAAAGCCCTGCTTCTCCTAACTGAATTGCTGCATGCAGGTGTGGGCAGAGCATCCTCCGACTGGAAGGCTCAGAGCACGTTCTTAGAGATGACGCCGAACCAAGTTGAAGCAACTGTTCGAGGAGTTGGTTCAGGGTTCGCAACGTGAAGGCCACCCCTGTAGTGATGCTAGCGATGCCCCCTGCTTTGAAATGCGATGCCGTTCTTGCTTCTGCTCACAGCTTCTGCTCGCAGTGCTTCAGTTCGGTGCTTCTGGTCACCGAAGAAAGGCACAGACTGCGCATCGCCGAATATATGCTTTCGTACCTCGGCAGCAAGGTCCGCAAAGATCCTGCCGCCAACTGTGTAGCCGCTGCGTAGACAACTCTGTGGCAGAACCGGGCCCCACCAAGCTGGGTTAGCATCCCCATCCTCCGAAAGCCCTGAAAGTCTCCGTTTACATCCCTAAACCCTAAACCCTACCTAAACCCTAAACCCTAAACCCTACCTAAACCCTAAACCCTAAACCCTAAACCCTAAACCCTAAACCCTAAACCCTAAACCCTAAACCCTAAACCCTAAACCCTAAACCCTAAACCCTAAACCCTAAACCCTAAACCCTAAACCCTCCTTTTGGGGGAGTTAGGGGTTTGGGAAGTTTACCCAGCAGCAAGGCGGAGTTTTCCTTCGAGAGCACCTTCCTTCCCGGGAAGCCTCTCTTGGAAGGTCGGGGCCCAAAGTTGTGTTTCTCGGAGGTGTGCGTGTGTGGTGGGTCATTCAGTCACAATTCTGGCAATCCCGAACTTTTGGGCTTCAGGCTTTTGGCTTTAGGGTTTAGGGTGGTGTGGCGGGGGCGTAGTGGTCTTGACAGTACTGTGGTCAATTGTGGTTTTTTTTCAGATCCACTTCAGCGTGGTTCTTAGGGAACCGAGCTTCAGTTCATGCTGGTGGGGGGGGGGGGGGGGGGGGGCGCGTGTTGTGTTTTTTTAGGTTTTTGGTTTTTGGTTTTTGGTCTTCGTCGTTGGCAAGAGAGGAGCGTGAACGAAAGAAAAAGGGCAGGAGGAAGAAGACAACCCTAGTCCTGATTCTCAAGCCCCTAAATCCTAAATCCTAAGCCCTTGTACCCAAGCCCTTAAACTCCTCAAGCCCTAAACATGAACACATAAAGCAGCGAAATGAAAAATTGGGGGGAAACAATCGCCCTGGCAAATCCCTTTGCTGATGGAGGAGTCCAGCAAGAGTTCAAGTCCTGTGTGACAGAACCGATGGGTTTGTACCATGCAACACGTCCCGGCTTCGGCTTGCTGCTTGCCTTCCCTAAGCCCTAAGCCCGAAGCCCCAAGCCCTAAGCCCTAAGCCCTAAGCTCTCAGCCCTCAGCCCGAAGCCCTGAACCCCAAACCCTTAAACCCTCAAGCAAACCCTGAAACTCGCGCAGATGCATGCTCCACCTTTCTGGGCGTCCGAGGCACCATGCTTCAGTTGAATGGCCTCCATGCCGATCCGGAGCCCGAGACTCGCAAACTGTGCGCCCTAAACCCCGAGCCCCAAATCCCAAACCCTCGTGCTGGAGGCAGCTTCGGGCACTCGGAGCCTTGTAAGGTTTGTGGTTTCGGGTTTGGGGCTTCGTTTGCCGAGTTGGCCACGGCTTCTTGAAGTCTTGCTGCCCCAAAGCCCGCGGCCATGTAAGCTTCAAGAGGGTCGAAGCCGAGAGCTTGGAACGAAGAAACCTTTGTTGCATTCTTTTTCAAGGGCGTGCGGAAGGGGGGGGGGAACCCTCGGATGAGAAATGCAAGCGGCCTTTTTTCCAGCAAGATAGCAAACCAGCATCCAAGCCAAAACCCACCCCCTCTGTGTTCCTGTGCAGCGTCAGGTTCACCTTCCGCCCGTGGCTCTGCGTGCGGCCTCCCAGCTTGTGCTTGGTTGCCACGGGGGTTTCACAAGGGGGGGGGGGGGGGGGGGGGGGGCAAGTAGCGGTTCTTCCAAGTCTGTGTGTTGTCCTCAAGTTCGTCCCAGGGTGAGTCAGAATTCCACATTTGGAGGAGACGAATGGTTCGGAAGAACTGCGGCGTGCTTCAACGTGAGGCGGTGCAGCTGCCGATCAGCAAGTGGGTGGACAGGAGCCAGGGCGATACTCGTCCTGAACTAATCCTCAGCCCTAAACGTTTCCTATACCCCGAAACCGTAGGCTCCAACCTTCTCGAGATGCTGCAAGGCTTTGTGGCAGTTCTCATTCTGACACCTGCCAAAACTGGTAACTGCGTGGCAGGAGCCCTTCCCCCAAAATTTGACGTCATTGTCCAGCTTGAGCTTGAAAGTTTTCAACGGAGCCACAGGACACTCTGCGCCGAATTCCAGCTGCTAGGAGAGGCGCGGGGGAGCTCCCACTACGTAGTGCAAGGCTACCTATGGTAAATTACGGGTTTTGGGCTTTGGGGGCTCCGACTATCAGAGTCTTCAGGATAGTAGTATGTTTGGGCTCAGTACGAAATTGGAGTTTCTATGCATATGTATCTGTACATGTATATGTCTATGTGAGTGTATATTTACAAGCACATAGTGTATATGGAGATGCGTATGTATAAAAGTGCACCTACATAAGCGTGCTGTATGTCATTGCTTATGCAAGGTATGAATCCTGCACGGTTTATAGTGCCGTATCTCTTTGTAGGGTCGACTTGGAAGGTAGGTGCCGGTGCCAGGATGTTTGTGGGGCCACGCGGGACAACAACCAAACGACCCGGAGCGCAGAGTGATGCCCCCCGCGCCACACACCCAAACCCTAAACCCTAAACCCAAACCCAAAACCCCTTCATGGCCCTGCTTTTCGAGAGGTGTGTGAGCTCCTCCACAAGTCCGGCATAGACCTGACCTGTCCCGAGTGCTCCTCCCAGCTTGAAGGGTGTAGGCTTGCAGGGTTCAGGCTTTCGAAGAGGTGCCCAGCTTTGCCAGCGAAGCCAACTTTTGCTGCAGAGTCCCTCCTAGGCTGCGCTACTCGGTCCGCGGGGACTTGAACCTTTACCTTTCCGAGCCGTCCTGCGTGTCCTGTGTCGGTGCCTGCGGCCAGATTGCGCAGTGGTCCAGCGTTCCAGGATGCGGCACCATTCCCAAATCCGGCGAGACTTCAGATCATTGTAACCTGTCAGTAGACCTCAAACCCGGAACCCTGAACTACATCCAAGTTTCTCTTGGGTTGCTTCTGAGGGAATCCCTGGTGTTGCTGGACGCCCACCCATTCAGCCCGTAGTAAGGGTTTAGGGTTTAGGGTTTAAGAATCGCCTGGGTGCTGCCACTAAAATGCTTCTGGTTTGTTGTTTCGATCTAAGTCGGAGATGCTGAAACCCAGAGCCACCACCTTAAGTCCATCAACATCTTGCCAATTGCAGCTGCGAATGGCTCAGCCCCTCCCGGGTGTGTTGGGGTTCAATCACAGAGGAATGTACGTCATGCAGATAGGCACAGAATCATAGGATCCCTTGATCAGAATGGACCCCCCCCAATAAGGCAACCCTAAAAACGGAGTTGCAGAAGCCACCGACCTGTCCGCCGCTTGACCGCTGCCGCGGTTCTAAGGCTGGAAGTGCTAGACACAGCGGGTTGAGGGCTAGAGAGCCCAAGAACCCCACGAACCCGAGAACCCTCGAGTCTCAACGCCGGGACATGAAACTCTGATTGATGTGCAGTCTCACGCGAAGGCGCCTCCCCGGGCGCGTGCCCGCGCTCGCTCGCTCGCTCGCTCGCTCCCTTGCTTGCTTGCTTGCTTGCTTGCGCTTGCTTCACACCCCCGAATGCGCTCTCTGTGCTACGGTGGATGGACGAAATCTTGCACCACCTGTACATGCGTACTTCAAACGATTGAGGCATCAAGCCCCGCACCCCCTGCTTAACATTGGTGGCTGGGACTACTTGAGCGGTGCAAGATTTCGACCATTGGAGCAAGTCCGGCCGCTAGCTTTTCACTGCCAATGTTAAAAAGGGGGCACGGGGAACATAAAAAGACGTGTCTGAAAAGCGGTGCAAGATTTTGTCCATCCACAGTCCCTTTCGGCGAATGTTGCCGGGTATGTTTTACGAGACTCCCAAGGTGCTTCAAATACGTGCAAAATAGCAGTCAACACTCAGTCAACACTCAGTCAACACTACAGTCAACACTACGAAAACCCTGGGAAAACCAGCAGATTCCACAATTCACTCGTTTTAAAGGAAAATACAAGTTTTTTTAGCTTCTTAATGTCCAGAACAGCAAAATGCTGGTTTTTCCAGCATTTTCGCAGTGTTGACTGTAGTGTTGACTGTAGTGTTGACTGAGTGTTGACTGAGTGTTGACTGTCATTTTGCATGCATGTCTTGCTTATCTCCTATAAAACACAGTTTTTTCTAGCTTCTTAATGTCCAGAACAGCAAATGCTAGATCTTCCAACATTTTGGCAGCATTGACTTGTTGGGCGTAGAAGGAATGCTGCGTCATGCAGAAAAGAATGGGTACGCACTATCAGCATATGCAAAAACACTTCTGCCCTTCAGTCCCTTTCGGCGAATGTTGCCGGGTATGTTTTACGAGACTCCCAAGGTGCTTCAAATACGTGCAAAATAGCAGTCAACACTCAGTCAACACTCAGTCAACACTCAGTCAACACTACAGTCAACACTACAGTCAACACTACAGTCAACACTACGAAAACCCTGGGAAAACCAGCAGATTCCACAATTCACTCGTTTTAAAGGAAAATACAAGTTTTTTTAGCTTCTTAATGTCCAGAACAGCAAAATGCTGGTTTTTCCAGCATTTTCGCAGTGTTGACTGTAGTGTTGACTGTAGTGTTGACTGAGTGTTGACTGAGTGTTGACTGTCATTTTGCATGCATGTCTTGCTTATCTCCTATAAAACACAGTTTTTTCTAGCTTCTTAATGTCCAGAACAGCAAATGCTAGATCTTCCAACATTTTGGCAGCATTGACTTGTTGGGCGTAGAAGGAATGCTGCGTCATGCAGAAAAGAATGGGTACGCACTATCAGCATATGCAAAAACACTTCTGCCCTTCGGTGGATGGACGAAATCTTGCACCACCTGTACATGCGTACTTCAAACGATTGAGGCATCAAGCCCCGCACCCCCTGCTTAACATTGGTGGCTGGGACTACTTGAGCGGTGCAAGATTTCGACCATTGGAGCAAGTCCGGCCGCTAGCTTTTCACTGCCAATGTTAAAAAGGGGGCACGGGGAACATAAAAAGACGTGTCTGAAAAGCGGTGCAAGATTTTGTCCATCCACAGTCCCTTTCGGCGAATGTTGCCGGGTATGTTTTACGAGACTCCCAAGGTGCTTCAAATACGTGCAAAATAGCAGTCAACACTCAGTCAACACTCAGTCAACACTACAGTCAACACTACGAAAACCCTGGGAAAACCAGCAGATTCCACAATTCACTCGTTTTAAAGGAAAATACAAGTTTTTTTAGCTTCTTAATGTCCAGAACAGCAAAATGCTGGTTTTTCCAGCATTTTCGCAGTGTTGACTGTAGTGTTGACTGTAGTGTTGACTGAGTGTTGACTGAGTGTTGACTGTCATTTTGCATGCATGTCTTGCTTATCTCCTATAAAACACAGTTTTTTCTAGCTTCTTAATGTCCAGAACAGCAAATGCTAGATCTTCCAACATTTTGGCAGCATTGACTTGTTGGGCGTAGAAGGAATGCTGCGTCATGCAGAAAAGAATGGGTACGCACTATCAGCATATGCAAAAACACTTCTGCCCTTCAGTCCCTTTCGGCGAATGTTGCCGGGTATGTTTTACGAGACTCCCAAGGTGCTTCAAATACGTGCAAAATAGCAGTCAACACTCAGTCAACACTCAGTCAACACTACAGTCAACACTACAGTCAACACTACGAAAACCCTGGGAAAACCAGCAGATTCCACAATTCACTCGTTTTAAAGGAAAATACAAGTTTTTTTAGCTTCTTAATGTCCAGAACAGCAAAATGCTGGTTTTTCCAGCATTTTCGCAGTGTTGACTGTAGTGTTGACTGTAGTGTTGACTGAGTGTTGACTGAGTGTTGACTGTCATTTTGCATGCATGTCTTGCTTATCTCCTATAAAACACAGTTTTTTCTAGCTTCTTAATGTCCAGAACAGCAAATGCTAGATCTTCCAACATTTTGGCAGCATTGACTTGTTGGGCGTAGAAGGAATGCTGCGTCATGCAGAAAAGAATGGGTACGCACTATCAGCATATGCAAAAACACTTCTGCCCTTCGGTGGATGGACGAAATCTTGCACCACCTGTACATGCGTACTTCAAACGATTGAGGCATCAAGCCCCGCACCCCCTGCTTAACATTGGTGGCTGGGACTACTTGAGCGGTGCAAGATTTCGACCATTGGAGCAAGTCCGGCCGCTAGCTTTTCACTGCCAATGTTAAAAAGGGGGCACGGGGAACATAAAAAGACGTGTCTGAAAAGCGGTGCAAGATTTTGTCCATCCACAGTCCCTTTCGGCGAATGTTGCCGGGTATGTTTTACGAGACTCCCAAGGTGCTTCAAATACGTGCAAAATAGCAGTCAACACTCAGTCAACACTCAGTCAACACTACAGTCAACACTACGAAAACCCTGGGAAAACCAGCAGATTCCACAATTCACTCGTTTTAAAGGAAAATACAAGTTTTTTTAGCTTCTTAATGTCCAGAACAGCAAAATGCTGGTTTTTCCAGCATTTTCGCAGTGTTGACTGTAGTGTTGACTGTAGTGTTGACTGAGTGGTGACTGAGTGTTGACTGTCATTTTGCATGCATGTCTTGCTTATCTCCTATAAAACACAGTTTTTTCTAGCTTCTTAATGTCCAGAACAGCAAATGCTAGATCTTCCAACATTTTGGCAGCATTGACTTGTTGGGCGTAGAAGGAATGCTGCGTCATGCAGAAAAGAATGGGTACGCACTATCAGCATATGCAAAAACACTTCTGCCCTTCAGTCCCTTTCGGCGAATGTTGCCGGGTATGTTTTACGAGACTCCCAAGGTGCTTCAAATACGTGCAAAATAGCAGTCAACACTCAGTCAACACTCAGTCAACACTCAGTCAACACTACAGTCAACACTACAGTCAACACTACGAAAACCCTGGGAAAACCAGCAGATTCCACAATTCACTCGTTTTAAAGGAAAATACAAGTTTTTTTAGCTTCTTAATGTCCAGAACAGCAAAATGCTGGTTTTTCCAGCATTTTCGCAGTGTTGACTGTAGTGTTGACTGTAGTGTTGATTGAGTGTTGACTGAGTGTTGACTGTCATTTTGCATGCATGTCTGGCTTATCTCCTATAAAACACAGTTTTTTCTAGCTTCTTAATGTCCAGAACAGCAAATGCTAGATCTTCCAACATTTTGGCAGCATTGACTTGTTGGGCGTAGAAGGAATGCTGCGTCATGCAGAAAAGAATGGGTACGCACTATCAGCATATGCAAAAACACTTCTGCCCTTCGGTGGATGGACGAAATCTTGCACCACCTGTACATGCGTACTTCAAACGATTGAGGCATCAAGCCCCGCACCCCCTGCTTAACATTGGTGGCTGGGACTACTTGAGCGGTGCAAGATTTCGACCATTGGAGCAAGTCCGGCCGCTAGCTTTTCACTGCCAATGTTAAAAAGGGGGCACGGGGAACATAAAAAGACGTGTCTGAAAAGCGGTGCAAGATTTTGTCCATCCACAGTACCAAGGATGCTTTTCAGAGAGCCATGAGTTGAGTACCGCATGTCAGATTGGTGGGTAGTAGAAATAGAGTGTCGGCTTATCAGATGATCATTGCAGTTCTAGTCACATAGCAAGAGAGCTGCCAAAAAAGGGAATCATGAGAGCTGCAGGGAATCATGGCCGTCGACATAGATGGCATGACCTTCGCGGAGTTCACGATGTACCGACTCCAGCATCTCGACCGCCAAGCAGCTGTGTCGTCCATGCAGTGGGTGAGGCATGGGCATGCAAGAGGGGGCTTCCTGCACCCCAAGATGACTTTATGAGCCTCAAATGTGAAAAGGCTATCGGAACTTCGCGAACCCTAGACCGGAAGCCCGACATCCTAAAGACGTAGCCTGAGTTGTACGACATGGAACTACCCGACTGTCCGAGGCACGCTTGCGAAAGTGCAAGCAGCAAGCTGGAGGCGATCTTGCGCGAGCAGCTGCAGCCCCTGAGCTCGGCTAGCCCGAGACCCTACTTGGAGGTTCATGGTAGCCAATTAAGAAATGGTACGTTATAACCCACTTGTAAGCACCTTAGGTGCCCGAATATGGTTGTAAGTACAGTTGTAAGTACAGTTCTAAGTACAGTCATGGTTGGTTGATAAGCACCATGAACCTCCAAGTAAAGGGTTCTCGGGGCCCTTGTAGGCCATGGGAGTCTGGCCACCTCTTAGAGATTCATGGGTATTCAGTTTTCCCATTTTCGGCTTAGGGGGTGCGTCGGACAGTTTCGTGAATTACGCTCTTATTGCTGCACGATGGCAGTGTCGTTATACACTAGGTGGAGGTTTGCAAAAATGCAGGTTCCCTTGTGGGGGGATCCTATAATGCACTCTGGGGTATAAGAACAAGGGTGCATCCCTTTTCCTTGGAGATTCCTAGATGGTTGCTTGGTTTTACTCCTCAAGCCCCTTGAGCCCAGGAAAGCCGCTGGAGACCTCAAAGCAGCCCACAACCTGCACTGCAACGTGCCTGAATCACTCCTCAGCGTGCCTGTTTAGGGTTTAGGGTGCTGGTTCCGCTCACTTTTCTTGTTTCAAAAGGCCTGCTGCTCCCAGATCATCCGGTTTCAAGGCGCCAGTGTGAAGCCACTTTCGCTGAGCTGCTCTCTCCAGAGCCGAGAGGTTCACACCTGATGTTGGACACCTCTTGGCAGATCTTCACTTCCCCCCCCCCCCCACTACAACATGCTGAAGATGAAATGTGAAGCCTCAAGTCATCAAGATGAAGCCTCGAGCCTCAAACACCCAATGCTAAAGCCAAAGCCCTGAACCGTGACATCATCCCATTCCACTGTCATGGCGCCAGCAACCAGACGGAGTGTCTGTGCAGGTTTCGAAGGGTCCCCCCTCCCCCCCCCCCCCCCCCCCCCCCCCCCGAAGTCTTGGTATGCGTTCTCGGATTCGTATGGAAACCGTCCCAAACCCTAAGCCCTAAACCCTGGTTGTGATGGCCGAGGCAAAACCCTGCACGAAATCATGCCGAACGGGGAAGTTCTCGATTCCGTGCGAGTCGACTTCTTCCGACCCGACAGCAAGGAGGCGCTTTTAAGGGCTTGCGGGGCTAAGCTCTTGAGCCCTGGGAGGCCCTCAGCCCGCTAGGGGCCGAGTCAGATCTTGAGCTTTAGGAACAAGAGTCTATGGTTTAGGGTTTAGGGCCAGGGTTTAGGGTTAGGAGAGTGTGTGTGGGTCGATGCAAAGAGTCAGCAGAGTTTTCGGCTGATGTACTGAACCCTGATCGAAGAAATCCTAGCCCGTCGTGGTGATCCCAGGCCTCGAAATTGTTTGGTGTGCGAGATCTCCTACATGCAACATTGCGAAACTGTGCTCCGACGCCTCTCTTCTCCATCAACTCCCTAAACCCTAAGCTTTGAAACTACAAGCCCTAAACCAGCTTTTCAACTCTCAGCCCTAAACCCTAGGCTTTTTCACTCCAAGCTCTGTAGTCCGGAGTCTGAATCTCCTTGAGGCTCCCTCCAAAGGGCCACGATGGGTCGATGATCCGACGTGGTGTGCAGAGGATGTGTTCGGGCATTGAGGGTGTTGAGGGCTTCGGAGGGTTCTTGGGTTTGGGGGCTATGTGATCAGTGCTTTTATCGATTTTCCCAAGTTGGGTAACTGTTCTGATTCTGCCATATGCGGCCCCTTGTATTCAGGTGTTCGAGAACGTAATTCAGAGAACCCACCATGTGGGTTCTCGAACTCCCAAATTCCTTACTAGCACCACTAAAACGAACTTAGCTCGGGCTTAAGAAGGTTTTTGTGAAAGATTGGTTCCTGTAATACTTCTCCGGAGCTGAACAATTTGGGGCAGTGTCCTGTTGGCGAATCTGCTTGGGAAAGTGTGTGAGCCCACGTGAAGCAAGCAGTGTCCAAGCGACGGCGCTCTCTGCAATGCACTTTTCCCCCCTCACCACCCCCACCCCGGGCCCCGCAACTTCGAACATGTCCAACATAAACCTTTTCAGGTGCTTCGCAAACCTTTCAGTGCTCGCAAGCCTTCAAAACACTGTCGCAGGATTGGAGAGCTGGCTCAGATGCTGGTGCTGACCTTGTCACCGAGGACGTTTCCAGGGCTTGGGCGAATCGAGCATTCGGATTCTCAAGCTGCGTGTTGACATCCTAAAGCCCTACACGGGACTGGTAGTGGTGCAGACAGCCTGAAAACCGAAAGAAAGGGATAACTCACCACAGCGTTCTCGGCAAGAACTGGCCGAAGAAGGTCCCACTTCGTAGACGAGCCGAAAACGATTCCAATCCCAAGTCGCAAGCCTACCATTGCATGAGGGAACTAGATACCTTAATATCCCCGTATTTCCCTTTAGGGGATTCTACCCGCTGCGGCGACCTCATTCCCACATAATAAAAAGTCCAGGAGCCGGATCTTTTCAAGTCGGCATTCAACAAGTCCCCGTGTGCTATTGACAGCCCGACGAGCAGCGGGAAGCTCGATTGTGGATTTTGGGCACAGGTCCGGCACCGTCTCGAGGGTTTAGGGTTCCGGGTTTAGGGTGCAGGGTTTGGTGGTTTCCAAGGGCTGATTCGGGGGTTTCTTGTAATCAAGATGCTAGCTTTCAGGGGTGGTTCACGCGCAGCTAACGAGGGACCCACTCTCCGCCAAGACTCCAAACAAGTGCGTACACATAGGTGAAGATTGGAAATCGTCCTGATATATTTCTGGCATTAATTTGCAAACATCATTGATCTCATCTGAAATCGTCCCTATGATCTTCCGTTGGCAGCCCAGGAGCTTGCAGCAAATGGCCTCGAGGGTCACCTTCGACAACGCAGGCCCCGGTTAGCTGGTGTTGGTCTCGGATGGTTTAGGGTGCCGAAGACGATCCGACGATGTCCCCACCCAGAGCTTATCATAATTGTGGACATGGGCAGCCATGTGGCCGTGATTGCTCGGCGTTCGCCAAGTGGGGTGCCCAAAGCACTGGCCCTGTGAGGGTCTCCGAAAGAGAAGAAAGAGAAAGACGAGCGAGCGAGAGAGAGAGAGAGAGAGAGAGCCACACAGATCCGCGACGCGAAGGGCGCACTCCAGCGCGCGGGGGACATGGCGAACTTGCCTGTTCTTCATGCCCGGCAGAAGAGGGAGAAAGGAGAAGAAGAAGACGAAGAAGAAGAAGAAGAAGAAGAAGAAGAAGAAGAAGAAGAAGAAGAAGAAGAGGAAGAAGAAGAAGAAGAAGAAGAAGAAGAAGAAGAAGAAGAAGAAGAAGAAGAAGAAGAAGAAGAAGAAGAAGAAGAAGAAGAAGAAGAAGAAGAAGAAGAAGAAGAAGAAGAAGAAGAAGAAGAAGAAGAAGAAGAAGAAGAAGAAGAAGAAGAAGAAGAAGAAGAAGAACAAGAAGAAGAAGAAGAAGAAGAAGAAGAAGAAGAAGAAGAAGAAGAAGACGAAGAAGAAACAAAAGAGAAGAGAGAGCGACAGGAGGAAGGCACAGACGAAGAAACGACATCCAGCGACCCACAACACAGACGCACCAAGAAAGGAACAACCACCGCGTCGCCCAAGCAATCCACGTACAAGTACCACACAGCGGCGCCGGAGGCGAGGGGCCTCGAGATCCTCGACGAACTTGTGAAGCAGATACAACAAGGACTACATGGCATGTGGGCCCACAACTCCAACAAGTACTCCACTATGCCAAGTTGGGGAGGCAAGCTGAGAGGAGCGGGAAGCCGCGGAAGCGGTGCCATCGGAAGGGGAAGGAGGGATCGTCACGCCGGAGACACAACCAAGGGAGCGATGCACACCCCCATGGTGATGGGAGTCACCAAGGGGAGGAAGAGCGAGTTGGTGGCCAACAGTGTCATGTAAGGGGCAGCACCTGATGGTCAGCCTAGTCTGTGAGGCGTTAGGAACCGGTCCACCATCACATAGTCGTCATATTATCTTGTTGTAACCTAATGAAGACTTAAGGGAGGGCCAGCCAGCAGGAGCGTGAGGAGGCACCCTTCGCCCGCTAAAACCCACCCCAAAAGGCACTACTGGCAGTGGACATCGTTACCGCAAAAGTGCAGCCCGAGTGGACACACTTACCCCTAGTGCCGAAGTGATGTAAAAGCAACACAGTGGGTGTGGGGGCACTAAGCAGCACACAGCTGAGCTGGAGCAGAAGACGGGAAGCGAGGTCGTTCTAGACCCAGTGACCGTGGTATGAAGGGGGAGGGACGTTTGCCCCAGCCTGTCAGCCGCGATTCCCTTACAAAGGGAGAAGCGACCAGCAGTCGAAGGCGCTGAGGGGAACGCATGGGACAAGATAAATGCATGTCTGCTCCCCCTCTCACCTGAACCGCAATCTGCGGGCCCGTCGTGGCCGGGGCTCCTCCATGGGGGGGCCCTCTTCGCTGAGCAGAAGAAAAGAGAGGGAGGGAGAGCTTGCACAAGACGTAAATGCATGGAAAGGCGGTGATGACCTCTCGGAGCCCTTCTCCCCGAGCTCGAGTGCCGCGCGGATGCCCCGCCAAGCCAGCGAGATCACTCTTCACAAGGCCCATACAAGCTGCGAAATCCAAGTCAATGTGAGAAGGTGTGAGATCAGAGTTATGGCCATTCCATGCGAAGCTACTGTAGCCTCGATCACATCCGTCCGTCATTGATGCTCGGCAAGTGAGTCTTGAAGTTGCGGTTGCGGTTTTGGATGATTGGGAAGGCCTTGGCACTTCAGCACGCACGCAGACTCAACGGCAGGAGCACGAACCCTAACTCCCTAAACCTTCAGTCCTGATTACCCCAACTCCCTAAACCCTAAACCCTAAACCCTAAACCTTAAACCCTAAACCCTGAACTCTAAACTGCAGCCCTCAGCCCGCCAGTCCTTGATTGTCTCGAAGGTCTGGAGTCCCGAGGATGGCGTGCTCAGAAGCTCCTCGTCTTGTTCTTTTGATTCTTAGGGTTCAGGGTTCAGGGTTCAGGGTTCAGGGTTTAGGGTTTAGGGTTTAGGGTTTAGGGTTTAGGGTTTAGAACAACTGCAACAATGCATTTAAATCGCAGGCCCATGGACACCAAAACCCGAAGCTCCAAAACCCGAAACCCTAGCGGTGTCAGAGGGTGTCCAGAGGGCCAAGGAAGGATCTCCAAGTTGGGCTCTAGTCGTTGGGCTGTGCGCTTTGAGCATGGAGTTTCGAGCCCCGATGTGGTCGCCCTTGCTGGGTTCCGGAGAACCCTAAGCCCTAAACCCTAAACCACTCTAAACCCCCCAAGCCTGGACCCGTTCACCTCGAAATGTCCTGAAGCTGAAGGTCCATGGACAATCAACAGGCTTGAGGCCAAAGAGCTCAAGTCCCAAGTGCCTTATGAAGCAGGGGCTTCAACTTGGGGGGTACCTCCATCCTCATGGCAACAAGGAATAGCTGTCATAATTCCAGCAGCACTAGACACTACAGTCATGAAAAGGTAAGAATAAGATGTAAATACAACTAAGAATGTTATAGCCCGAGCTCGCAGAGTCCAAAACACAGGTACCTCGGCTAAGCGGATGAAGAGCAGCAACGATCGCAAGCCCAACAGCAGAGGCAGGAGCAATATCAGGCGACCGGGTGGTCCGTTGAACGTGGGGTTCGGGAGTGTGGGCACAGCATGGGATGCAATACAGTGCTGCACAGTTGAAGTTTGAGGGTTCGATGGATTGGTCCCTAACTTGTGTTCAAGCACTGAAAGTTTAGGACTGCTCATGGTCTTTTCAGTGCCATTACTTCTGTTCGTCGTTGAAGGCGAAGTAGCGAAAGCGCTTCCGTTCCCAAGACTAGTCTACCGCCAGGTCTGGGCAGGAGATTCAGAACGAGTGTTGCTTGCACCACGTGGTGCAAAGGCAGGGCTGTGTCTTACCAAAGGGGTTTAGGGTTTGGGTTCCGGGTTTGGGGTTTAGGGTTTGTGGTGACCTCTGGAGCTCTCAGGCTCTAGGGATCAGGGTTTCGGGTGGAGGGAGTTTGGGCATGGGTTTCGGAGGCTTTGAGAGCATCAGGGGAGGATAGCTTCCGTGCACGAACCTGCCCAGTTGTTGAAACGTACAACCGTGGCCGCGAGGCACGTCGCACTTTACGCCCTGGGGATTGTCCATAGGGTGGGTTGATTTGGTCTCGTTCCAAACTTGGCGTTTCTTCCAGGAAGAACAAAAGCCTGAAAGTCCAAGCCCTTGACCTCAATCAGGCCGAATGGCTACTTCTGCCTTTTCTGGGACATCGTCTGTACCGTGGCGATCGCCCATGACACGGTGTCTGGGACCATCCGATGTGGTGGGTTTCCTCGGCCATGGCGGCAGGGAAGATAGTCACAGCTGCGCGAGCATGCGCATGTTGTTAGATGTGCACAGAAGTCGTTAGGCATTTCCCACAAGAAGCCCCCCCCCCTCCCCCTTGTATACCCCTAAATGCTTAAAGCCAAGCTATAGGAAGCCCCAAAAAAGCTACCCCCAAAACCTTAAACTGCCTCAAACGCTCAACTCTCCGTTGTTTTTGGAAACCCCTCAGTTAGACCAATCTACTGAGGTGATGATCCCTCTCCTGTCTGCCTTCCCGCTTATTCAGCAAGAAGGCCGTATTGGGTCCGGCCGTGAGGGTTTCGGAAGTCAGGGCCTTGAGGGTTTAGGAGTGTTGGGCCTTGAGGCTTGAGGGTTTTAGGGCGGATTTTGGGGGAGTCGGATTCAGGTGATTATAAGGGTTCCGGGAGTCCATTTGGTTTCTTGAGACCACATCCATGGCAAAGAGTTGCATGCCACATCACGACACCTGCAAGTCCACGCAGCTGCCCATGGCAACGGATGCCACAGCAGTCAGTCTAACACCCTGCCCTAAGGCAGCTAGGGTCACCATGTCCAGTGCATGGAGCACCCTCAAGGCCCTGAACCCTAACCCTGACCCCACGGCAAACACAAGTAGTTCAAGAAGCTTTGCACGAACAAAGAGAGGCAGAGAGGCAGAGAGGCTCACATCCACAACTCCGGCGTCTGACCCCTCGTTCTTGGGCTCCGGATGCGTTCATCACCTAACCCTCAAATTTAAGCCCTGGCTCCAGACTTATACAGGCTCGTGGAGGAGTTGCGGAACCTTCAACCCCAAATGAGGGTGTAGGGGTTTAGCGCAAACCCCTAAACTCGTCAACCCCAAACCCCAAGCCCTCAACGCCAAGCCCTAATCCCTAAACCCTCAACCCAGTACAGGCCTTCCCGAGATCCTCGAAGCAGTTTCGGGCTGTGTCTGGATGGTGGACATCGTCGTCTCGTTCCTGCGGGGCTTTATCGATATGCAAAGAGGCCTGGGGTGACGAAACTCGGTGGCCGACTAGTACATTCCTGAGAGCAGTCCAAACTCCCCAACAGGGTTTAGGGTTTAGGGTTTAGGGTTTAGGGTTTAGGGGCCTGAAGCCCACGTTGAAATGCAAAAGTCTCACTTCCCCTCCCCCCCCAGCCCCCTTTCCGACTGATCTCCTGACAGGCCTGGTGGAGATGCGTCTGCAGAAAATTGCCTACCGCTACGTCACCACCTGGTTCATTCCAGATCCATTGCTGATTCTAGCGGATTCTAGCAGATACCAACTACAAAATCTGGTACTAGGAGCATCAGTGATGAGCTATCAGCCCTTGTCACAGCAGCACAGCCGTGGTTTCAGACTGGTCACCCAGGACGCCGCAATGGTCTTCCTAGATGGTCTATCGCTCTTCATGGTGGAGCTGCGGCAGATGGAGGCTCTGACGCTGCTCCGGCTCTTCCGGAACCTTCGGCTGGTCCGGCTTCTGAAGATGACGAACCGCTTCCGGCTGCTTAAGGATGTGATCACGAGCATGGGCTACGGCTCCGAGGGGACCTCGGTCTTCGTGGAGACGGTGGTGCCTGGCCCCGAAGAGTATAAAGAGGGCTGTGGTGTTCAGGGTTTTTTGGGGGTTTCAACAACTCAGCTTGGCACAGCCTGATACACTGGCGCTGCATCTGCAGCCCGCTCCTTCTGATGCTCAGGCTTCTCTCTGCTAGGTATGATGGTATTATAGTATTATAGTATTATAGTACTATAGTATTATAGTATTATAGTATTATAGTATTATAGTATTATAGTATTATAGTATTATAGTATTATAGTATTATAGTATTATAGTATTATAGTATTATAGTATTATAGTATTATAGTATTATAGTATTATAGTATTATAGTATTATAGTATTATAGCATTATAGTATTACAGTATTACAGTATTCTAGTATTATAGTATTATAGTATTATAGTATTATACTGTGGATGGACAAAATCTTGCACCGCTTTTCAGACACGTCTTTTTTGTGTTCCCCGTGCCCCCTTTTTAACATTGGCTGTGAAAAGCTAGCAGCCGATTTGCTCCAATGGTCGAAATCTTGCACCGCTCAAGTAGTCCTAGCCGCCAATGTTAAGCAGGGGGCGCGGGGCTTGATGCCTCAATCGTTTCAAGTACGCATGTACAGGTGGTGCAAGATTTCGTCCATCCACCGTAGTATTATAGTATTATAGTATTATAGTATTATCGTATTATAGTATTATAGTATTATAGTATTATATTATAGTATTATAGTATTATAGTATTATAGTATTATAGTATTATAGTATTATAGTATTATAGTATTATAGTATTATAGTATTATAGTATTATAGTATTATAGTATTATAGTATTATAGTATTATAGTATTATAGTATTATAGTATTATAGTATCATAGTATTATCGTATTATAGTATTACAGACGTAGCGTAGTCAGTAACATGGTAGCACGTAGTGGCCACACATCCTCTCGACTTAGAGCCCAGATCCTCCAAGCCCCCGGAGCCCATGCCTCTTAAGCCCCCTAAATATCCCATCGTTCAACCCCTGAACCCATAACCCCTAAACCCTAAACCCTAAACCCTAAACCCTAAACCCTAAACCCTAATTTTTCAAAGCACTCTAAAGAGGTGGGCGTCCTGAAGCATCTGGCCCTGATCGCCTTGCTCTGCCACTTCACGGGCTGTGCTTGGCATGCGATTCTTGGGCATGCCGAGCGGGGAGGGTCGGGATGTTTAGGGTTTATGGTCCGGTTCAGGGCTTAGGATTTGTAAGGATGTAATTTAGGGATGGGGGTCTCATCCACTCACAGCTCCGCCCGCTCGCCGCTCCGCGTTGCAGGAAGCAGACCTTTCCTCGGCATTTGCCGAGGAAGTTTAAAGGATCTCTCTGTGTCCTCTACTGAAAATTCGAGGCCCAGACCCAGTCCCTTCCACCACAACTGCCCCCAACATCTTCCCAAACCCCAGAGATCTCGAACTCTGCAACTGTGAGGATCGGGGGTCTCACCGGTACGACATGGGTGACGGTGCACACCACTTTGCGAGAGCAGGCGGGTTGAGGTCTAGGTGTCCTCAAGGTCCCAACACCCTGAGCAGCGCACATGGGCACATAGGTCATGTTGGGTCGTGTGATGGGTATGGTGGACAGGACATCGGCATCTTCAACCACAACTGGATGTACCTCTACATGACCTCTGTGCACTGGAGCCTCACGCAGTTTACGCCTGCTGCCATGGATGTTGTGGCTTGGACTGTCATGTCCCTTTTTCATCTCGCCATTCGTCAGTTTAGGCCCGGCACAGCACTCCCGTACATGCCTAGACACCAGCAGAAAGGCCCGCCAAAGTGCAGTAGTTCCCAGCCAGCCGGAGGTATTGGCATGACTCCCCGCATCAGTCACTTTAGCCTCACAGTCATCTAATCCAGCAAGGCTTCGCCTACTTGCCTCATGGGTCTTCACAGGATCGCCTCGTGCAGGCTCAAGTCTCTCTCAAACAGCAGGCAAGCAGGGTTTAGGTCTTAGGGTCTTTGTAGGGCTTCAATAAAAAGAGTTTTTTCGGGTTTTTGTAGGGTTTGGTCCCAATAGCTCCCTAAACCACCTCCAGAAACCTTCCAAGGTGGCGGTCAACGCGCTGGAGAGGGTGTTCTCAGTGGTGGTGACCCTTGCGGGACTCATTGTCTTCAGCTTGTTCCTGGGCAGCCGCTGGGCACGCCTAAAGCCCTGCTCATGGGCATGCTGATGCACCAGAAGAGCAATCTAAGATATAGAGGTATGTATATATATATATATATATATGTGTATATACAATTTGTACATATATGTGCAACATAAGATGCATATGTATGTATATATAGATATAGATATAGACATAGATATAGATATAGATATAGATGTAGATATAGATATAGATATAGATATAGATATAGATAGGGTTTTGGCATGTAGTTGGGAGTAGGGGTATAGTTCGGATTCTCGGGTAGGCCTGGCATCCTTATGAATCCTTGACGATGTAGTCTCGTCTGGTTGCTAACATGAAGGGGGCTTTCCCGGCTGCGTGACCTTTCAAATCGAGAACCCTCGAAAGCCCTAAGCCCCCGAACCCTAAACCCCCAAACCCCAAACCCCAAACCCCAAACCTAAACCCTAAAACCCTAAACCCTAATCCCATTCAAACTCGATCCTCGATCGGTTCGGGCTCGAGAGTGGCATCTCACCTGGTGGACTTTTTCGATTTCACCCTCTTTGGGTCCATGTTGTATGGGTAGTTCTCTAAATAGGGCCCTTTTGGGGGGTTCCTTTGAAAAGGTGCCGTACGTACTCAAAAAGGGGGCCCGAAAAGGGAACTTAATCTAGAGAGCTACCCTGACTTGAGAGCAACCACGCACGCAATCTACTTCGCAGGCAGCAAAGAACGTCCAGTCCAGTGCGAACTACAGCATGAAGCCCTCAACCCTCAACCCTAAACCCTCAACCCTAAGCCCTAAACCCAGGCATCAACCAGAATCTCGCCCGGCTGCGGAACCTCAACGCCCAGGAGAGGCTCCAGAACCGGCCCGGGGGCCTGGGTTTCGGGGTTTGGGGGTTTAGGGTTTACGGTTTTGGAGTTTTGGAGTGTTGGAGTGTTGGGGTTTAGGGTTTAGGGATTAGAATGTAGTGGTTTTGGGGTTCAGGGATTTAGGGGTTTAGGGGTGTACGGGTTCAGGGGTCTAGGTGATGTTTATGGGTCTAGGACACCCAGGTTTAGAGTTTAGGGGTTAGGGGTTTGGGGGTTTAGGGTGTGTTTATGGGTTTAGGTCTCCCCAGGAGCAATGCAGTGTCACGCAAAGGCACGCCGCAACACGAAGCCCGAAACCCTAAACCCTACAGGGTTTAGTATTTAGGGTTTAGGGTACTCGAAGCTGCCAAGGCTTGTACGCCGCTATGTAAGCGAGCGCCGGATTTCGGTGGAGCTGGCGGCAGAGATCCTGGCTTGGATCAAGCAGCGCAGGCCTGGGGAGATGGGCAAAGAGGCAAACTTGATAGTGGAGGTTTGGGGTCAGGGGTTTAGGGTTTAGGGTGTAGAGGTTCAGGGTTTAGGGACTGGGTTTAGGGTTGTCTGCATGGAATTTCAGGTTTGGGGTGGGGTGAGAGCCATGAAGCGTCAGCAAAGGTTTAGTCAAGGGGTGAAGTGGGACCCGGTGTTCCTGACTGCGTGTGCTGACTGACCGCTCATGAATGCAGCATCCGGATGAGGCGTGGTAAGGCCAACAGCAAGATTGTCTTCAGCGATATCAAGGCACTGGAGCGGCCAGGCCGAACAAGCAAGAGATTGAAGACCCCAAACCCCAAACCCCCAACTACACCCCCTAAACCCTAAGCCCTAAGCCCCTGACAAGTAGGGGGTGAGTTCCGAAGATCGCCGCGCCTGAGATGACGCACCCGGTACTTTAAGTACTCTGGGCTTCGGGTTGGGCGTCAATCTGGACCCTCAGCCCCCCCCCCCCCCCCCCCCCCCCCGGGGCAATTTTCAAGGAACCTGCCGAGCAAGCTCTTGACTGATCTGCAGCAGGAGGTGGGGGTGTAGGGTTTAGGGTTTAGGGGTAGAGGGTGGATTCAGGGCTGCTCCAAGATCTAGGGACATAGCGGAGTTTGTAAGAGCATCAAGTCAACGTTCTTGCCTCATCCTTTTTGCTTGCTTGGCGTTCGCAAAGGTGACAGAGCTTAGCTCCACTGCCTCTGTGCCAGTACTTGCGCACACACACACACATAGCAACAGTTCCAGCTGAGACCGCTGAATGTCACTGCCAGGTTGGCATACCTGTTCTGGAGTCCCACGCCATGCTCAAGCACCTGGCACCCCGGATGTCAGGTTATTCAGGGCTACAGGGTTGTTTTTTTTGCCAATGTGGTGGCTTCCCAAATCAGGGTACCGTCCTTATTACAAGGGAATCCTACTACTTGGGGGGTCCCCTATTTTGCGTAAAAAAGACCAGGTATTGTGGGGGGGATGCCTGTTTTGGCCGAAGGTTCGGGGGAAGGCTCGTGGAAGTTGCCAACTTGAAGATTTGTCGGCGTTAGCTTTTTTTGTCTTGAAGAGCGCCCGTTACGCCTCTAGGGCAACTTTCGGGAAGACAGCGGTTCACGAAAATCCTCGAAGACGCTGATCAAAACCCTCCAAGTCAGAGTTAAAAAAAAGTCCCGCGCTCGCCCCCCTTGAGTTCAAAGCTCTCCAGGCTGGCCTGGGCTATCAGGACGCGGTACGTCTCTGTTCGAAGGCAGGAGATGGACGTTGGAATCGTTGGAGGGAATCACGAGCCGGGGCTTTGAATCACAAGTCGCTGCGTTGGAAGATCGCTGCTTCATGTTGCTTCACCAGCTCAGCCAGTGCAGACAGCCTCACATGCAGTGAGTCACAGGCATTGAACGAGGTCAGCCGCGTGTTTGGCGAGGCGCGAACAGTAGGGAGGGGGCCTCGGAAGAGCTTCAGGGTGTCACGACCCTCGCGATGCTGATGTGAACATCGCGCTTGGCATATCGTGCGTTTGTGTAAGAATGTGCAAGAGCCTCAGCCGCTCAGTGCCAACCCTTCAAGCATAGGGCCCAGAATGAATGCAGCGTTCCACAGCTGAGACCACAGTGCATTGTGCTTCAATGGCAAGTCGAGCCCCTGACAAGCATGGCAAAGCAAGTCCCTCAACATCCCCCCACAGCTTGTTTGAGCCCTTCCGAAACGAGTTTGTAACCTGATGCATGCCAACAAGGCTGCCATGACAACCCCCAAACCCAACTCCAAACCACCGTTGGCCAAAAGCACGCCGCCTCTTGCAGGAGCTTTTCCACTCTGGATCTAGCTCAGACAAGATGTACTTCGTATCTAGGCGGCGATTGACTGCACTGTCTTGCCCGTGTCCCGGGCTCCTCTGCAGGAAGCGTGCTGTCTTTTCTGATGAGGAGTGATTATCGGGATGGTTGTATGAACGTAGGGAATGTGGGGTTTAGGGTGGGTCATGCCAGCAGGCAGCTTATGTCCTAACCCCTGCAAGAACAGTCCAGCTGCCGCCAAGCCGGCATTTGTACGATAGATTGCCTGTCGGACTCGCACCCCTCATAATCAGGGGTCCTTCAAAAGATACCCTGATTTGCAGCCCTTCCCCTCCGAAACCCCGAAACCCAAAAAACCGCTCCCCCGTGTACCGCCCGAGCACATCGAGAGATGCCAAGGTGCGCAGCGGGCGCCTGCACTACACCTGGGAACTGCGCCCGCAGGACATTTTTGGGATTTTGGGTTTTGTTTTTGTTGCGGGGGCGGGGGGAGTTCAGGGCTTCGGGTGTTGGGCTTAGGGTTTTGGGTTTATTGGGCTTAGGGATCTTAAGGAGGTAGTCGGCTGAAGCTTTAGGAGTTTGGGGCGGGAAGCATTGAGTGTCGCATTCTGAACCACGGCGTGCAACCTTTACCTGCCAAAACACCTGTTTGCAACTGAGGGGGGGTTCGAGAGCGGCTTCCTGCTGCTTTTCCGTAGGTTGTTTTTCCCTCAACGTCTCGCCGGTTCAGTTCATGTTCGCAGCTTTTCCCAGCCATAACTTGTCTGGAACTCAGACTAGCCCTGGGCCTGGAATTGAAGTTGCCCCCAGGAACGCTGGCATAAAGTACTGGCAAGGCATACCACACATACCATGCCAAGCCTTATCCCCAGCCCGAAGGCCACACCCCCGCAACGACTCCCCAAGCCTTGACCCTTTAAACCCTCTGACCTCATGAACCCGAAAAAGTGCCCGTGAGGAGACCGAGGACGTCTTCCCACAGAGCCGTGTGGGCGAGGCCACTGCAGGGTAAGGGACAGCTCCATGAAATCGGCTGACCTTTCGCGTCAGCGACAGATGCGGAGACCTAGTTTCGAGATCGGTCGGCTTAGGGCCGAGTGAAGTCTGTTCTCGCCATATGCCCCCATCCTCTGATGAACTCACTCCTCTTCCACTCTCGGTGGGAAGTACCTGTAGGCTTCGAAACGGTTGTGGAAACGAAGCACTTTTGCAGCAACTGGCTGGCCACACAATGATGAAGTGAGCAGCAGGCTTCCCTGTGGCTGCAAGTGGAGTACTGCGGGCGCTTGGCCTGTGCGGACCACAGCGACTTGGGCTTTTCGGGTGCTGGGGGAAGGTTGCAGGGTTCAGGGCCTTTAGGGCCTTTAGGGTTGTAACACCACATCCTCAACAAATCACGAAGTACGAACTGAGACGCCCCGAGCCTGGAGCTCTTAAGGTGCCCATCTCTTCTACTTGGACGCGGACATCTTTCGCAAGGCTCCCCGCTGTCATTTGTTGGTGGGAATTCCTGGGTTTCCGAGAATGCTGGGGTCTAAGGCTTATACAGCCTAGAGATTACTGCTTTTTGCTTTGGACAATGCTCACAGAATCTCCTCTCCCCCTTCGAAAGCCCGCAAACCAAGGACTAAGCCCATCCCTGTACCGCGCGAGTCCCCTCCCCCGTGAAGCTCAACATCCCAAGAGTCCCGGGTATGTCATCAGACCATTCTACTCAAAATAAGGTCCAATACATTTTGCTTGGAACATCCTTGGAGGTTCTTTCCAAGAGCGAGCACATGGAGGTACTCACGGTCTACGCCCGTCTCTTCAGCAAGCTCTTCCTGGCGCCCCGCCCTGAACCCTAAGCCCCTAAGCCCCTAAGGCCCCAAGACCCTCAACCCCTAAGCTCCGAAGCCCCCAAGCCCCTAAGCCCCTGAGGCCCAAGGGCCTTGGGGCCCTAAGGCTCTGGCCCGGGTTTCAGGTTCTAGGCCCTAAGGGTCTAAGGCCCTAAGGGTCTAAGGCCCTAAGGCCCTAAGGCCCTATGCCCGAGGCAGTAAACCTACGCCCAAACTGGTTTGAGCAGGGCTCAAGGAAGACTTAGGTTTCAGGACGCTGCGCCCCCGCGCCCAGCAACCAGCAATATATAGGGCTCAGGGTTTACGGTTTCTGACCACGGGTTTCGGGCTTAGGGTTGCTTGCTGGTCAAGGGTGTTGTTGTCGAACCCACCCGGCACTGACACAAAAGAGGCCACAAAGCTTCACCCTGCTCGTACCCTAAACCCTAAACCCTAAACCCTAAACCCTAAACCCTAAACCCTAAACCCTAAACCCTAAACCCTAAACCCTAAACCCTAAACCCCACAGGCGCAGAAGGAGATTGACATGGCCTCCGACCTCTTCGGCGACGACAAGCATGTGGCCACGCTTATGCGGCGGTTGCGAGCCCTGCAGGCGCACGGGCGGCTTTAAGAGCGACATTATCCTCTGAGCCTTTTAAGAATAGAAGCCCTCAGGCCCTGAAACTCTTTTTGAGCTCCTAAACCCTGTCTGTTTATGGCCACTTCTTGGGGGTCTTCGAAGTTCACCGGGGTATGCGGGGGTCTTCAAAGTTCACCATGGTATGGGGTGGGTATGGTTAGGGTGTAGGACTCAAGAAAGTCAATAAAGAGGCTGCGGCCACATGTCCGTCTTCGAACCACAGTGCCCTCAGAGGTTGGAGTCAGTGTCCTCTTCACGGCCGACCGCCATGTGCTCAACGCCAAGCCTGTCTTCCTCGCCTGGAAGGTGGGATTGTGGGAAACTGAGGGGCATCGTATGTGAGTCATTGGCATGCTGCTAGCGGTTCAGGGTTCAAGGGGTTTCGGAGTCTATGGGTCGCAGATGTCACACATGTTCACAGCTATCAACCTTAGGTGGGACTGGAGGTCTCATGCCCTAATGAACCTGTTAACCCTAAGCCCTATGAACCCGAAGCGGGGATAAGGGTGCGTCTCAAACATGTCCCTGGCTCCTTTCTTAAGTAACTATAGCAAGAACGGTAATCACAGTAATGACAAACATTAGCCGACTTATAATGACTTTACTCATGATCATTACAACGAGGCCCAGAACCATAATGATCGTCGCAGTGATACAGAAAGCGCCTAGAGAGCCGAAGAATCATCCTAAGAATGCCCAGAGAAAGAAAGAAAGATGCTCACAACCACAGCAGATTTTATAGACAATCAGGTTCATGATGAGACCATGATGTCAACAACAACAATAGTGAGAATGATCATGAAAAAGACATTAGTTGGTTTGTTCGGATGAGGGGGCACCTGTTCAACCTCACTCATTGGGACATACCCCTATTGTAACCTTATTTTAGGACTGTTTGGAGGGCGGGGAACATCCCAACTCACCCAATTTCACCTAAGCCCATCGACCGTACTTCCCCAGGGCCGCGCAGAGCAGCGAACCCTAAAGACGCACCCTACAACCTGAGGCCGCCTCCCTGAGGCCCCAAAAGAAGCCTCTGGGTCCCCTAACCCCTAAAGCCTAAACCCTAAACCCTAAACCCTAAACCCCAGCCCTAAACCCTAAAGCCCTAAAGCCCTAAAGCCTAAAGCCTAAAGCCTAAAGCCTAAAGCCTAAAGCCTAAACCCTAAACCCTAAACCCTAAACCCTAAACCCTAAACCCTAAACCCTAAACCCTAAACCCTAAACCCTAAACCCTAAGCCTAACCCTAAAAATCTGACCAGGAAGTCGTCCAGGCGAAGCCACGACGGGCAGGTGGCTCGTGCTGGCCTTTCGGAGGTTGAGGCTCCTCGCCTCCCAGCTTTTTCGGGCCAGCAGCAGGACTTTTGCCCGTTTTTCTCGCCCCCCCCACACGTGCAAGAGCGCCCTATGTACACCCAATTCTGTTAGACCACAACCACAATCACCCCAAGCAGAACCACTACACTACCCAGCCATGTCGAAAACGGGCGAGGTCTGCCTCGTAGAACGTACGCATTTTTTCGGTGCGAAGGTGTTCAGCATCTCTTGATCAGTTCCTGTAGCTGGGTCCGACAGTCCAATGCCGACGTGGGGGGTTTCTCCGAGGAGTCGAACTTCAATCCCCCCTCCGTAGTTGAGGTTTTGACGCCTGACACCATTCGGAAGGTCTGGAGGTCTTTGGGCCAGAATCTCACCCTGAAACCCCTAAGGACACCAAACATGCGGGACGTAGGTTCATGTGACAGTTGATGGTCAAGACCCGGCAGCAGGAATTGTTGTCGTCCTCCCCGCTGATGAAAGCAGCTTCTGCAGGCAACAGCTTCGGAATAGCAGGGCCAGAGATTATAGGATCGCGTAGAATTCGAATGCGTCGAGCGTTCTGAGCCTTATGAGCCATGCGCATCGTTTTACACCTGCGATCAGCACGAGAACTTCTACCCAGCGCTGGCCGTCCTGAGTTTCTGGGGCTGTTGATGCACCGAGGCTCCAGGTGTGTAAAAGTCCTGCAGCCTTTCACATCGGCCGCTCACCTCATAGAGGTCAGCTGCCGTGGTTCATGTGGGCTTTTGCGGAAATCGGGGTACCCTTTCTTGCGGGGCTCCTAGAATAAGGACGAAGCCTAGAGTAGAATCCGGGGTGTGCGCGGTAACCCCCCATTTCGGGAAATGCCCATATTTCCTTGGCCCTCACCAGCCAGGAATTGCGTAGGCGTAGTCGGATCATGCTTGGAGGTTCAGGTCGTTGCCAGCTGGCAAAACATGTTCGCGCACTTGCAAAATCTTGCAAAGAAAAGACCACTGCCTCCTTGTCCATCATGATCCCATGAGTCTCTGAGTGGGGGCAGTGACTTTGAGCTTTCCCGTGGTGGATCTCCTCGGCACGGAGCTCTGTTTCCAGTTATGGAAACTAAGCAAGCTCAAGCCCTTCAGAGATGCGTAAGAGACGCTGCAGAAGCCAGAGAACCTTCTCCCATACTATCCCCATCCCATTTTCAACGGTGTGTTGCAGGGTCCTAGTCCTACTCTTCAAGACCGGGGCTCCTGCAGCTTCTTGCATTCCAGAGACAGCTCTTAGTCCATCTCCCGACGCAGCAGAAATCGGAACGGTGTCTCGCGGGGGTTCAAAGGGATCCCCCTTACGAAGACGGCCGAAGGCGAAGGCGAAAGCTTGCGGATCAAACAGCTGTCAGGAGCTACCCTGAATTCCGTGTGCCTGAAGCATGGCTTGCCGCAACCTGCACTTGAAGGGTTTCTCACGAACTGTCAGGAAATGGTTTCTGTAGCCTCTACAGCTCGGTTCAACCTCAAGTCGCCTCCAGCCTTATGCCTACTCACCGCAGGTGCCATGAAGCAGTTCCAGACACTCCTTCCAGGCCAGATGTTGCCGGCACGTTTCAGTTCGTCGTCCACCAACCCACCGGGCCCAGACCGGCAGCAAACGGGGCAAGCCTGGGAGAGGTTGGGCTAAGGGTCTGGTCCGCATTCGAACTAGCTTACTTAGTAGTGTACGGGGATCGCGCTTTGCAGGCTTAGCAGCGCAGGTCACTCGTTTAGCGCCCGCCAACACGTCGATTGATTCAAGCAGCGCATGGCAGTTTTGACCTGACCACCTTGCAGGGGCAAATCTCTTCGTGGAGTGCGGAAGTATCATTGAGCCTCTTACAGCTCGAAGGGAGTCGCTTTGACTCCTATCTGGCAGGGAGAATTGAGTGGAGGTTGCAGGCTTTGCTTTACCCTTTGGTTTACACAGCTGCTTTGGGAGTCTTTCTTCCTTGTGCGCTTTCATTGCAATTGTGGAAGTTGTGGGCGCCCCCTTCGCCCACCTACCTCCCCAACAAATGAAAGGAAAAGAGAAGAGATTCGAGCAACGCGTTTATAGGGTTTATGGTTTAGGGTCTCCGGTGTCAATAACGGCCTCACGCGCAGACTGTTGACTACCCCTCATTCTTGAGCCCTAAAACCTTACGAACATAATATACTACCACTATAGAAAAGTACTGCACTACGTTATCATATAGCATAAAGCTGGGCGCCGGAGATGCAGCGAGCTGAACTGAACGCATGGTATTGGAGGAAAAAATGCAGAAATTGATGTATATCCTTTCGGCGCCTCGTCATGAACGCCTCGTAGGCAACACTCCGAAGGATCCGACTGCACAAGCCTACTGTCTTCCCTCGGACCTTCCTGAGTTTCGGGTTTAGGGTCTCTAGGGTTTAGGGTCTTTAGGGTTTAGGATCTTTAGGGTTTAGGGCTTAGGGAACCCTAGGCCATGCCAAGGCTACAGCTGCAAAGGCAAAGGTCGTCGTCGCAAGAGGCCAGGCGAGAAGCCCCGACTGGGGACCCTCAGCTTCAGACCCTAAATCTTATAAACCCTAGAAACCCTAATGAACCCTCATGAACCCTAAAAACCCTGGAAACCCTACAAACCCCACAAACCAAACCCCACAAACCCTGTAAACCTGAAGCCTCTTGAGGTGCACTCCCCCCCCCCCCCCCCAAAGAAAACACCGAGGACACCCGTATCCATTTTTTGGGGGGGGGGGGGGGGGAGGTTGTTTCGGAGCTGGGCTGGTGGTGGTTTTTTAAAGGGCGATGAGAGGTGAATCCTCTGGAGATCTCCCCCAATCTTACAAGCCCTACCAACACGAAATCGAGCTCAGTTATCGAGTTTCCTTTTCATTCATCAGCCGAGGGCAGCAGGGGCAGAACCTCCTGAAGCTTTCTTTCTTGATGGGGGATTTGCAGCTATCGACTCGGCTGAAGAAGGAGGGGAAGAGAGCTCCAGAAGCCTCGAACTTGAAGCTTTCAGACCTCAGAGGCTTGGGATCTGAGGACTAGGCTACCTGCAGCATCTCACAAGCCGTGATTCAAGGGAGTCCCTGTGTGTTTTCTCCCTAGAAGGTCCGAGAATGGTCCAGAGGGTCAGCGAAGCAGTAACACACTGGGGAGGGGCACGGGGGTTGGGGAAACAAGGGCTTTCTATGGCAACATCTGACAGTCGGGGCTGAGGCGTGTTACTGCATCGGCATTGTCGTGGCTTGCGGGGTGCCTCTGTCTCACGTAGAACATCATGCATCTCACAACTTAAGCACTCCTAAGTGCGTCAGTTTTCTTCTTCATGTAAGCCAAACCACCGCAAAGGTTTGCAGAACTTCTCCATGTTTTAATTCTCGCACCGGCGCCTGCCTAGCAGGAATGACGTCCCAGTGGATCGCGAAGTTTGATGAGGACAATGATCACATGTCTTGTCTGGGTCATGAAGAAGCCGGAAGTCAGCTACTCAGGTGTCCAACAGATGAAGAACTCCCAAGCCCAAATTTCATAGTCGGCACAGAAAACTCCGTTGCACAGGCGATGTGTTGCTCAGCCCTTGTTTGTGGTGTGCCCGCTTTTCGGACGTCCTTGAACCCTCCCTTTGATGAGATTCACCTTCCCTAAAGTCAAACCAGCTGAAGAGAACAGCCAGCCAGACCTGTTCAGTTGGTCCATGCAGCGTATGTCCAATCTGTTGTTGCTTAGAATCTTAGAAGTCTGTGCAGCCTTGCTTGGCATTCATAGCATCATGAACTAAGTGGGCTCAAACACTACGGTACAACTCGCACAACCTCAACACACCCTGAAAAACTGCGTCATAACGCCTGCAACGTTTCTAAGGTGATGCTGAGCATGCTCCCCTGAACAGCATCGTGCCCAGCTTGCTTGAAGATTTTTGGATCGGAACGAAGCCCCCCCCCCCCCTCTTGTTCTGCTGGAGCATTGAGCGAGCAGCGAGCGCACTTGCTTCTTGTACGTGGTGCTGGGATGTGAGATGTGGGCCCTGTAGGCATCGGGCCATACTTGCTTTTGCCGCAGTGGCTGGCTCCGAAGGAAGATGTTCCAGCCTGCCCCAAATTTTTCATTGTAGTAGACCTCGGAGGCATCCGGAGGATGCCGACTGCAAAGGAATACGCCGCCAAGCGCATGCGAGAGTTCGGTGAAGAGCTTCTCACCGACTATGAGATGCTTCTCGCAAAGCAGCTCAACAAGGTCAAGGAGGACCCCGCAACAGGTCGTTAGCCCCCGGACCACCTTGAAGCCGCAATCTTCAGAGCCACAAGCTTAGGTCCTAGGTTCCATCATTCGCCTCCGTAAGCCCAAGTCAGCCCATGGAGCCGCAAGGATCTGCAGCAGTTCCTCGAAACGAGGCGGGACTTCGCAACGCATCGCAGATCTCTCGAATTCTTAAGGCCCCCGAAGCCCAGAGCCATTGACGCTTGAGTCAGACACATCGCGACTTATCCACGCCCTAGAACCCGACACCTCGTGTTGCGCATAGCGACCTGTCATTCGGTAGCTTAAGCTTTAGATGTGGGATCCATGGCCTCAGAGGGCACGGGGTGGTAGAGTTGTAGACTAGCCCACTCTCATGGCACTTCGTGGCTAGCGATCTGATGCAGAACGGGTTTCCCATGCTGTCTGCGCATATCACTCGCTTCACGGCGGGCTCTTCGCACTTGCTGAAGGATCCCATTCTTCTTACGTGCTTCACATTGGTTCATTGATGTTCATTGCCCACTTGTAGCGTGGCCCAACACGAGGCCAGCGGAGGACACAAGGCCAGGGGAAGATACCCCGGCCCGCAGCATGAGCAAGAACAGCGAACGAAGTGTTGTCGTGCGGGGCGCGAGCAAGGCGACTGAGGGCTTGTGTGGGTTTTGTTATGGTCGGGGTCAACGACAAGTAGGCACCGGGGCACAGCGCCCATGATCCTTATGCTTTGTTACGTTTGCAGGGGCTTTGGGGGCCGGTCTAGATGAAGTTCCCAATCGACTTTCTGGCATCCTGAACTCCTGTCCTGAGAGGCTAGCAGCCACAACATTGTGCTGGACCCTGTGGATGAGGGTTCGGGAGAGACGCCGTGGGAAGGGGACCTTTGGAAAGTCAATGAGGATGACATGGACGAGGACCTGCCGCCTTACATCCCATCCCGCGTGCACCTGCCCCATTTTGAACCAAAGGTCTCAAGACCCCAAGAGACGCAAAGGGCCCCAATTGAGTCCCAAACCTTAGGGAAGTTCGGCTCCCCGCACACCGCAAGCCCTGAGACCAGAGATTCTGAGCATTCTGAGCAGGAGTCTACCGGGCCGACAGTGACTGAAGAGATCGACGACTTCCCGCACATGACCTCACCCCAGCACTCCCTCTTCCTTCCGGAGTCACCAACGTCCTGCGTGCTCGCGGGCAGCATTTCAGGTTTTCTTTTTGTTGGGAGACCGCTTGACAGAGCGTAGATCTTTGAAGGAAGCGAGACGGCCTCGTCCTACCACTGCCTGATGCCTTCTCGAACTCGAGCCTGAGCATCAGCGCTGCTGGGTGGCAGGATTCTGGAGAGGCCTCTGTTGGGACGTTCACTGATTCACCCTTTTCTGACAGCCCTTAATGGTGAATATCATTCGGGGTACTCGTCGTCGTCGTCGTCGTCGTCGTCGTCGTCGTCGTCGTCGTCGTCGTCGTCGTCGTCGTCGTCGTCGTCGTCGTCGTCGTCCTCGTCGTCGTCCTTGTCCTCGTCGTCGTCCTCGTCCTCGTCCTCGTCCTCGTCCTCGTCCTCGTCGTCGTCGTCGTCGTCGTCGTCGTCGTCGTTGTGGTGGAGGTCGTGGTGGTGGTCGTGGTGGTGGTGGTGGTGGTGGTGGTCGTGGTCCTGGTCGTGGTCGTGGTCCTGGTCGTCGTCCTCGTCCTCGTCCTCGTCCTCGTCGTCGTCGTCGTCGCTGCTGGCTCTTGCTGCTGTTGCCGTTCTTGCTCCTTGCTCGCGCACTTGCGCTTGCTCTTCTTGTTGTCGTTGTTGTGCTTGTTCTGCTTGTATTCGTCAGGAGTTAGTGCCTTGCAAGAGCAAGATTTCCTGACACAGACTGCTTCAAGACAAGGTCGACATTCCGGCGGCCGATCCGAGAGGCGTTCACCTGCATTCCGTGTGGACGAACGATGATTTCTCTCGCAGCGTGACTGCATTGAGTTCCTAAATCCTCAGCCCCCAAACCCTAAACCCCCTGAAGCTTGGGCTCCAGTTTATGCCTTCTCTCCTCGCCCTGGCTCAGGAATCAAGGGCTTCCGCACACAAACTTGTCTTTTTCACTTCAAGCTCTGTAAATACGATGCTGGAACCGATTTAAAGTCGATCTCCGGACCACTTGCGGACCTTTCCGGATCTGCTTGATGAATCCCCAGTCAGGATGCGATCCCCGCACGCCGAAACTTGAACCCTCCCGGCGTGTGAAGCCTGCTACTTCTGGCAGCGAACCGTGGGGAACATGACAAGAATTATGCTACTGTTATCTAGTGTTATTGATGCGTGAATGAGGGTATGTTATAGGATTCGTTGCTTTTGAGGATACTGGAACTAAAAACCTCCTTCATGTGAAAACTGGAGATTGAAGAGTCCAGCGACCAAGCGTGCGATTACTCCACGCAACAGCAGGAGATTGGACGCACAGGTCGAATCTGCAGGAATCGAAGGATTGGAATATTGATGTTATGTTGCTGACAGCTTGAAAGCCCAATGGGATTTAGTGTTTTTTTTGTCTCAGCGCCAGTTCCCCGAATTGCTAGACGTCTTGCTGCTTGGGCGGGTCACTAAGTCGACCTTAGCCATGGCTGGTGATCGATATCGCTCTTGGCAGGCTGTTGCAAATGCCTTGCACCGTGCAGAACTGTTGAGCATGCTGCCTTGGCGCCCTTCTCAGTTCTTCTGAGGCCAGGTCTCCAAATCTTCTGGCGGCGGCCTTGGCCAAGACTCTTGGACTTTCTTTTAGGGCTCTAGGTGTCTACTGTCAGGGATGACGAGTGAGACCTGCTGTTTGGGGTCCGTTTCGGCAGAGTTTGTGGGCCCACAGAGCCCCAAGCGCTAAAACTCTAAACCCTGAGCCTTCAACTACCCCAAGCCATAAACTCTCACCTGGGACCTTGAACTCTAAACCCCAACCTGCCAGTGATTGCCAGTGTGCTCAAAGGACTTCATCGGGCGCCTTTCTCAAAAGTCGTCGATCCGATCCGGCCAGATGGCGCCGACAGCTGCAAGTTTTGCTTTTGGCTAGTCCAGGCTTGGGGACATAGATGAAGGGATGTGCAGAAATCAGTCCAGTCTGTTCAGGGTTGCTGAGTTACAGCTGGTGCAACATTCCGTTGTTGTTTTTTCGCACGTCGCAGGCCTACCCGCATGTTTAAGGAAGACCACGAAGACGGGCCTGTCCCCTCAGTCTTCAGGTGCAGGAGCATGGGCCGCTGCAGAAAGCAGTGATGAGGCGCTCCGAGTTTCAGCTATGTCTCTTAGTAGCTGGGGGTAGGTAGCCTTTAGCCTTCTTGTGGATTTTCGAAACGCCTTCAGAAGCCATGGGTAATATTGTTGAAGCAGGTAAGGCATAAGCCCTTTTTTGGTATGATGAACCCCTTCGAAACCATAAGGCAAACCCTATAAACCCTTCATGAAAGGAGCTAGAGCCGAACATCGTAGCAACATGAGCCACTCAAGCCAGGTTTGTGATGTTTTGGGCTTGCCCTAAACCCTAGACATCCCCAAACCCTAAACCCTAAACCCTCCCCCGTTTCGGGGGCTTAAGGGATCCTTCGGAACGTGCGAGGCCCAGCAGCCTTCGTTGCGTGATGTGGGACACCGTCTGCACCATTGCGATCGTCCATGATGCGCCTGGGCTCGTTAGTCTTTGATGTTGGAGATCTCAGGGGTCTCGGACATTGCAGAAACTCGAACTCCATCGAAAACTGCAGCTGTAAGTCGGTTAAGTTAAATCTCCGACCTGCTTGGGGGAAGGGCCCAGATACCTTCTTGGGAGTGAGGTGTTGGGCATCCCAAAGCGAGACGGCACGAAGCCAAGCTCTCTGCCACCTTTGAACGCAAAGTCTGCCTTAGGCATTGATGATTCCCATACTGACTGCGTTCCCCATCGAGCGCTCCGGGCTTGCACGGACACTTGAGACGCTCGGCGCCATGTGTGTGTGTGTGTCTGCATGCTAGTTCGGCCTTCCTGTGCACATCAATACCAATAACACGCAAAGCTTGGGGAATTCATCCAAAGTCGTGTGAGATTCTGGGCCTGTCCAGCGGCCCAGCCACAAAATGCATGACCTTGAGCGCCTGACGATTAAGATTAAACCCTAAACCCTAAACCCGAAACCCTAAACCCTAAACCCCAAACCCTAAACCCTAAACCCTAAACCCTCAACCCCCAAAATGGCCAGAGCTCATCCAGGCTCGTCAGCAGCGGGGTTTGGCTGGTGGACCTCTTCGTGTCCTTCTTTCGGGGCTACCTGGACATCCGCACAGGCGAGGTGGGCCGGAAGGCTGCTGAGGTCTCCCAATTCTTCCCAGCAAAAACGGGTGCACTTTGCTCGTACATCCCACTCAATAGCTTGAAAGTAAGTAGAGCACAGGAGTGCTAGAAGGGCTAGGAAGGACTATCAATGAGATGCTATGTACACGGGTCTGGCTACCATCATCCTTCGCGAATCTATTCTTTAGGCCATTTTTGTGTCGATTTCGAATCTCTTCTCATCTTCTCCATCGCTAGCATCGCCCTGCTTGATCACGTTCGATACTGTCATTCGAAATCCCGCTTATCCTTTCCAAACGCTTTCTTGTCGCTTTTTGATGTAGAAAAGCCTACGGGCTGCTCCTCAGGCAGGAGAAGGGAAGGCCCCTTCCGTTACAGATGTCATTGCTCAGCAGCCCTCCTGCCAGGAGTAGAGAGACACTGGTAGCTCCTGAGTCCTGCTTCTTGGTGTATCCTTTAGGCGCCTCCACTTGCAAGCCGTCCTCCGCGTGAGGCTTTGTCGAAATGAGATTCCGGCGCATTGCCCTGAACTACCTGACGCACTGGTTCATGGCAGATCTGGCCATGATCGTGTTGGACGCAGCTCGTCCGCTTTAATTGCTCATGGGCAGTGCAGGGATTATGCCGAGTTCTGCCTGCACAGTCCGTTATGTCCAATCAAAGCAATCCTGGGTCGAGGCAGCTTCTCTGTTCATGGTGGAGGACAGCACTATGGATGCACTGACTCTTCTGCGCCTGCTACGCAACCTACGCTTGCTGCGGCTGCTGAAGCTCGCCTGCATGGCCTGCGCAGGCCTGCTAGGTCCTAGGGTGTCCGCGAACCGCAGGGTCCTCTTCCCCTAAGTATATTGAGCCGAGGAAGATGTCCGATCGATATTCTATCTTGCGTGAGCTCTTCTACACCCTGGAGTGCCTCCGATGCCAAGGAGAATCTTCCTTCAGAGCTTGAGTCAAGAAGCGGCCCAAGCCCGGAAACCTACAAGCAACTGAACTTTCCTAAGCCCTTGCTCAAAATCCCCACAAAAAAACGGATGACCCCGACCCCTTCATGAGAGACGAGGTATGAGCTGGAATGGACCTCCGTGTACTTTGCCACCTTTGCAGGCGCATCCTTTGCATGTGGAAGTTTGCAATTTGGAACTCAGCCGAACGGGTTTGCCTTCATAGGGATGTGTCATTCCCATGTGTTAGTGGCGAAGGTGTGCTGCAGCACCTGGGGGTCATCGCTTTACTGTGCCACTTCGTGGGCTGTGCTTGGTATGCTTTGGGTGGCATGTCCTCCGCCGAGATTACTTGGGCCACTTGGCAGCTCTGGGTTCTTTAAGGCTCGAAGCCACGGCAAACTCAACCCCAGCTTGCCGCAGATAGGCTTGACGGTGGCAGTGAACCTGACCCTAAACCCCAAACCCTAACCCCCTAGCCCCAAACCATCCTAAACGCCAAACCCTAAACCCTAAACCCTCATCTCATTGAGGTGAAGGCTCACGTGGTCTCCCGGGGCGAAGAGTTTAGCCACACTGCGGGTTGGTTCTACTTCTACATGCGCCCCGGCGAAGAGTGGGTTTGGGGTTTCGGGGTTTAGGGTTTAGGGCTTTAGGGCTTAGGGCTTAGGGTTTGTTGTTTCGGGTTTAGGGTTTAGCTGGGTTTCTTCTAGCAGAGTTGGAAAGCCTGATTCATTCCAGCTCTCCCAAAGTATGATTCCTTTTTGGGTAGTCCCTTCCCCCCTGTTATTTACCCCCCTTCCCGCCCCGAAATGTAGCAGACAGACTTTGTGATGCGGGTTTAGGGAGTAGGGTTGAACAGGAGTTTAGATTTGAGGAGCGTTGGGTTGCGAGTTTCGGGTAGAACAGAGCTCCACCGAATACAGAGGGACATTATCATCCCCGGTGTTGCGGGGCCCAGGGACCCGAAAAAGCCTTCAGGGCCCCAGGGGCCAAGCAGGGGACCTTCATTGTGAACTGGGGAGGTGTTTCAGGTCCATGTTAAGGCCCGCAGGCTAAAGACCGGCGATTGCAAGCCCGGTCGTTTTCAAACGCCAAGCTCTAAGCCTCAATACGTTGAAGAAGCCGAGGACCTCTGTGCAGTGGGCATCGCTGCTGAACATCAGGTTTTGTCTTTGCTTCTGTTTCGGAGTTTGGGGACTAGCTTGGTCAGGACTTGGGGGATCTCATGGGTTGCTGTGTCAATTCTCATGGGTTGCTGTGTCAATTCCAACCCCACCTCTGTGCGTCAAAGGCCCTGACGCAGTTCACTCCTTCCGCCATGGACGTGTCGCCCGTAAACACACCTGAGCGGGTATTCTCAGTGGTGGTGTCCCTGGCGGGCCTTATCGCCTTCAGTTTCTTGGCCTGATCACGTTGTGACTTGAGTAGAAGACGCGTCGCATGTAGCACTGTGAAGGCTTCTTCCTGGGCACGATCAACCAATCCTTCGCAAAGCTGCGGAGCCTGACTGCGCAGGAGACGCGGCAGAACCAGCTTGTGAGGCGCTATGTCGGGGAGAGGCGGGTATCTGCAGACCTGTCGAGTGAAGTCCTAGCTTGCATTCGCCAGCGAGGGCTGGGTAAGGCCACAGGTAAGGTGGTCTTCTCAGACATCAAAGTTCTGCAAAGCCTGCCACACAACCTCCTCTATCGTTTGCACGAAGAGGTGGGTTTTCCCATACTGGAACAGCACGGTGTGTTCAAGTACCTGGTCTATGTCAGTATTGGCGATGTCGCACGGATGTGCCACGTGGCTTTGACAGAGTCCAGTGTCATCTATGGCGAGGACCTCTTTGAGGCTGGCACGCCCTGTACGTCGATGTACATGTTTCAGACTGGTAAGATGCAGTATGCCTGGGAGCAATCGCCCCAAGTCAAGGAGCCAGTGCTCCCCGAGCAAAGGGCCTGTGAGGCTGCTCTGTGGATAAGCTGGGAACACCGGGGTCTAATGACCTGTTGCGACCAGTCTACGCACCTCTTCCAGGTGCATGCCTCAGCGCTTCACAAGATCATGGCCAGGAGTGAGCAGCGGGACTTGCTTGCCATGTACGCCAAGACCTTCGTGAAGACGCTGCTGGAGCAGTATGGCAAGGCGGATGATGCCTCCGACCTCTATGGAGATGACGAGGTCGTGACCAAGATCCTCACGCCCATCCGAAGCTGGCAGACAGGCATGATGAGCCTGATGCCGGCCGGGGGAGGCTCTTTCCAGCTTCGGGCGGTCTTCCTTGCATGGAAAGCCCTTGTGCGGGAAGGCTCAACACACCGCGCTGGGAAGACCCAGTGGTTTGGGCGGCTTCGGCGGCAGAATACGGCTTCAATTCGTTAAGCTCCGAGTCTGGTTTAGAGAGTTAAGCTCCGGATTGCACTGGCCCATTAGGGCCTTAGGGGTCATCTGCGACATCTGCCTTGTAGCAGCGGGTCCCGAAGCTTCGACTGAAATGGGAGAACCGGGCAGAGTACCAGGCAGGACCTTGGGATGGTCATTCAATTTTCCCTCATTGGGTTTAAGAGGAAATGCTTGAAAGAGGTTTTTTCAGGTCCTGCTTCTGGCAAACCCTTCAATGCGCAAACCACGTAACTCCGAACAAAGCAACAAAATGAGGCCCATGGTTCCCAGAATATTTTTGAAAGTGTCTTCTGCACGCCCTGTCGGCTCGTGGGAGCAGAATTGTTTCAAATTCATCGCTGGGTGCCTCGCTGCCAGTTGCGATGACCTCGACTTCTTGCAACAGTTCTCAGAGCACTATATACGGCGGATCCGGCAGAATCAGAAAGAGGCTTAAGACTAGAGTAGCCTGAGCTGCTTCGAGCGATCGGGTGGTCCGATGAGACAGGTGCCTCGTTGCTGCACTTCTCATTCAGAGAATATTTCTCAGCTGGCCTATTCAGTGAAGCCCAAAGATGAGCAGGCCGAAGCCCGAGCCTCAACAGCATGGAAAGCGGCAGCGGCACTGAGACACCCAGCGTTTGGAAGGCTGCCAGTGGCCTGATGGCTCCAGAAGGTCCAATGGTTGAGGGTTTAGGGTTTAGGGGAGTCAGAGCATGGTCCGAGCATCATGAGGAGTGCCAGGCTCTTGCACTTCACGAGTAACAGGGAAACCCAAAGTCCTTCTGGTGGCTTTCATGCCAAAGATGCTTTGGCGGCAGCCAGGCTAGCCATAAATGCAGGAGGATGTCGATTGTCGGCACATGAATCTATGCTGGGGTTGGGAGTTTAAGATGAAGGGAGCGGCCAAAAGATTTGAATATGGCCGGTGTACGTCGCGTGCAGCCTTCGTACTGAGCTTGAAGGGGGAAAGTCTGCGATGAGGCGTTTCAGGTTTGTACAGTCCCAAGATCTGGCTGCTTCTTGTGACTCGTCTTTTGGATTGGCTCCGGTTCCTGCATTTCGCCCCTAAACCAACCCGAAGGAGGCCCTTTAATGCCTCAAACCTAAGACCTAAAGACCTAAAGCCTAAGCCCAAGTCCTCAACCCCAGCAAGCCCGTTTTGCCACGACCACGGCTTGGAATAGCAATGTCCATGGCAGGAAGCTGGCCCGAGACTGCCGAAAAGTGATAGTGGGGGTCTAGGGTGCCAGGGTGTTCGGGCTCTCGGGGTTTAGGATTGGGGTTCTAGGGGTTCACGGCTCCAAGGTTTTAGGGTTTGGCCTTAAAGTCATGAGTTTCGGTGAGGAGGGTGGCTTCCTGGCAATACTGGCATATGCTTAGTGGGAGAGCCTGGCATGTATTTGCCTCCCGAGCAAGTGCACCCACGTGAGGTGCTAGGGTTTATATAGGGGGCTTAGGGTTTAGGGTTTTGGGTGGCCCTTCTTGTGCAGTTGCGCAGATCGTTGCATGCTCGACCGTCTTTTGATGACAATTGCTGCCGAGCGAACATGCAGCTCATAGTTTAAAGAGTGCTGCGGCAGGACATCGGAGTGGGCGCGTGTTGATGGTTAACAGAGGGTAGCAAGAGGAATCATGCTGCTCATGTGATTAATCTTGGACTAGATAGCGTTAGTTGATGATCAGTGGCGGGGCAGGAACCTGAACAGGAATGGAGCTAGAATAGGCAACAACACAAACACTGCACAGGCAAGGGCTTCCGGTGTGGATACTACTTAGTCACTGCATTCAGACTTCAAATAATCTGAGTTGTTGAGGTGCTGCAGAGCCACAAAAGCCAATCTCCTTGGCGTGTTGTCGTTCTTGCAGTTTTAGAGCCCTTTTTGGGTCCTTAGAACAAGATGCCTTAAGACAGTCGCATGGTTGAGAGCCACTTCCGGATCTGAGATCCACCCACGCTGCCACATTAACTTCGATGGGCCGCCAGCGCACGAAGAGAGTCGTAGAATGAACTCTTGAAGGCTCTCCTGGACAAGGGCCTGAACTCCTGGGCTGTGTTTTTTTTAGAGCATGGAGCATCTGTTTGCTTACGGGTTTCTCTCATTCTAAGGCGGGTGAAGGAAGTGCCCGTGCCCAGGCATCCAAGTCATAAAAAATATGCCTTGCCAAACGGCCAACGCTCTTTGAAGGAAAGCGCAAGGTGCGCGCTATGTTGCGGCCACGCTGAGCAGGTCCAAGAACTTGGATCCAGCTGTGACTCAAGTTTCACACGAGGCAAACAGTGTGCTTGGAGAAAAAGGTGAGCCCATGTCTGTTCGGTGGTCATACCTGGAAAATAGACCCCGGAAACGATGGCCGAGTGCCATGAGGCGTCCCTAGGCGGGATAGGATCTTTGCTTGCGCCCACGCCTTCTTGGGATTCCTGTCAGGGCCAAGAGCTTAAAAGAAAAAAAGGGGAGCCGATGGGCCGATTTCGGATCCGCCATTTGCATTTGCAAGGTCTGAGGAGGCGGCCAAGTACAAGTTTGCGTCGAAGTTCGGCCTCGAGTTCAAGGCGACATGGAAGGCACATCAGTCATGGTTCTTAACCCAAGGCTTTGATTCCCACCTGATCTCAGCCCCTGAGCGGAAGGATCCGTGGCAACGAGGGATGTCTCCCCTCCCCGGAGGCATGGATTGAGCCTGGACCTTTTGATTCCAGGCACCAGGCCTGTAGATTTCCGCGGCATTCTTTGTGGGGCACGTCCGATTACTTCCAGGTTCCACAGGTTCTTGAGGCTTGGAGAGTAACTTGGAGGGCCACGATGAAATGGCGAATCAACTCTTGCATCCTTACACCTGCGCAACCTATGAACCTCTGCCTCAAATGTTGGCTAGATGAAGCCCTGCACCCGAAAGCCTGCACCCGACAAAGTCTGCAAGTCTTCGGTTCGCGTGAGTCTGCATGGACATGCAAAGGCTCCAGGATCGAAAGCTCAAGCATATGTGCGGGAAAAACTCTTGGGGTGTAGGGTTTAGGTTTTGGGGTTTGGGGATCTCCGTTTTAGGTCATGGTTCTGGGCTTGGGGGGGGTTCAGGGTTGAAGGTGCAAAGGTTCCCCTGAGAACTTCTTGAGGGTTTAGGGTTTCGGGTTTCGGGTTTCGGGTTCAGAGTTCAGGGTTGAGGGGGCTGGGCCTCTCCTTCTCCCTTCCCCAGCCCATGGGGTCCATAGACACTTCGATCCTGGCGGGTCATGAGCTGAAGGCATCCAGAACCCCGCACATTGCATTTCCAGGCAAAGGCTGTCAGGACGTGAACATGTACAAACATACGTACATAAATACAGTGTATATATATATATAGAATATGTTTATCTAAAAATAAAAAAAGAAACAAAGAAATAAAAGAAATATTTCTACATATACACATACACACACACATACTACACATTATACATACATGCTTGGAGGTTCATGGGACTTAAGAACCACTTAGAACTGGGCTTATAACCCTACTTATAATTGGGATAAACCCTATAAGGCCTTTTAGGGGTATTATAAGTAGGGTTATAAGTACGGTTATAAGTGGTTAGTAAGTACCATGAACCTTCAAGTGTTTTGTTATTGTACATTATAATTACACGCATTATAAAAGCATCTATTGTGCATACGCTTGCGTGCAATCTTAACGTCTTCGAGGCTCGCGCAGGCTGCTTGCATGATCCGTTTGTCGGCCCTCAGCAAACATAGAACAACACCTTCATCAGAGCCCACAGTTCACAACTTCTAGGTACCTCTGAAACCAGCAGAACCGCGACTAACTGGATCAGAAACCCTAAGCCCTATAAACCCCTAAATCCCAAACACTACTTGATGTCTAAGCATTTGAGCTACTAGCGGGTGGGGCTTTCAGCCGGTTGAATCGCGTCCGCGCCGTCATCATGGCTCCCCGTTGTTGTGGGATCCTGAAAAACCTCTGCTCGAGTTTTGGGTTTGGGCGATTCAGGGTAAGGTAGCACTTTTGCCACGGCTAACACCATGGGAAAGGTTTCGGACACAGTGCTGTCACAACTCTGGCATGGTGTTGCAGGGCTGTAGAGAGATCGATTGCTTCGGCCTGCCGTGCTTGTTAGACGTCGCGCTATTAGCAGACTCCAGACTCTTCTCCAAGTACAACGTCCGAGGAGGGGAATCGTACTCATTCCTTTGGAGCAACAGATCGCCCCTCCTTCAAGCAGTGTGGCCGTGTGGCCTACTATACGTCCATACGTAGCCCGCAATACCTGTAGCGCCAAGGGAAGCCCGTGAACCGAGCCCCCAAAATATGGGACTCAGGAGCCAGGATGCCTCTGTACGAGGAGCGGCTCATCAATCCCCTCTCCGTCCGATTCTCCCAGGCGCCATCAACCCCCAAACGCCCAAGAGAGACGCCAGAGCAGCGGGATTTCGAAACCTAGCAAGACGAGGCGCTCTCAGCAGAGCAGTTCATGTTAGGGCTTCGAGTGGTAGCATCCCTTGCAGCTAGACACCTGAAACCAAGGCTCATACCACCAAGCCGGGGGGCGCGCTCGAAATTCGAACAATCCCAACGTAAGGCGTGTGAACATTCACGCTATCCACGTCGGGCTGGCGTTCGTAGAGCGAAGCTGTTTTAGATCCAGATGACCCCTTAGACACCTGAAACCCTACAGCTCAAGCCGCAAATGTGCAAAGGGTCACCCTCCCCCCCCTGCCTGAAGCCATAAAGTCCCATGTTGCAGCATCTGCCACAGGACAGGATGTGGGAGGAATTCTCAGATGGCCGCCAAGTAGAGGCGTGCCCTCCCCACCCCCCAGCATGTTGTTCTGTGTTGCCGTTTGTCGGGTGTTTTGTTACGGCTTTTTGAGGTTGAGCTTGGGATGTGAGAGTGAGGGACGAAACGATGAGGCACAAGCCCGCTGGCGCCGCCGCACTTTTTTAAAAGCCGCATGGCTCTTCAACAGGAAAGTGCTTTTTGGGCCTTTCTTGGCTGTTGCACCATCGTGGACCCTGCCTTGGCCAGGACACCGTGTGGGAGATCTCTGCCAAGGACGGCGGACACGGCTATGACCTCTTTCTCAGTGCTGCTGGCGTCGATCTGAAGCCATGAGCTCCCGGCCTAGGGATATCGTAGGAATGCAGTAGCAACACGGGAAGCAGATGGTTAGGCAGATGTGAAGGAATCCTAGGTTAATGAGGAACCTGGTGCCTAAGCTCCCTTCTGCTTCGGGGGCTTCCGAGCAAGCCAGGTCCCCCTTTTCCTTCGGTGGAGATTGTCCGCCTCCGCCAGCAGCGGCGTGAGGTGCTCCGTCCAGGAATCAGGGGATACTGACACGATATAACCATCTAATACGAGGAATAGAAAAATCAAATATACCATATCTATACCTAAAATAATAGTAAAACAGTATCAAGAGTATTCTAGTAATACGTTAATATCTCGGTATAACAATATACAAATATAGTCATATAATCGTATCATCATGTAACAATGTAATCTTGCAATTATGTCATATGGTAAAAATGCAAAAAGCTCAATACTTGAGAGGCCTTGCAGGCTTCATGAAAAAAACTGCTGGTTGTTTTTCCGCATGTTCAAGGGCTTGTTCATCGAAACCTGAGCGAGGCATCGGGCCTGGACCCTCCATCGGAGATATGCCAGAATTTCCATAGCCAGGCATGGAAAATCCACGAAATCAATGGTTCAAGCAAAAGCGCCAGCACAGACGCAAGCCCCCACTCCAAGAATGCCCTGATGGAAAAAGAATACCCAAAGCACACGAGACGGCGGAGGAGGACATGGTCCTAGGTGATGTCAAGTTGCGGTTGCAAGGCCTGTCAAGGCATGGGTATTTTGGGCTCGGCGCCTGCAGGCCTAAGAGTTTCGGACACGTAGGGTATGTTGGCCCCAACTCGGATCCTACCTCCGAAGCCTTCAGCCTTTTCTTACACGAGGCCATCCACGAGACCGTGCTTGGTAACTCTAAACCCCAAACCCCAAACCCCAAACCCAGGGTCGGGGGCCCTAAACCCTAAACCCTAAGCACCAAACCCGAAACTCCAAAGGGCTCCACGGGCGTCGTCAACGAGCGCGGCGAGCGCCTCTACGGCCTTTTGGCTTTGGTTGGAAAGATACTGATGGCCAGGGGCCAGCGTTTGAAAAGTTAGCGGCTGAGGATGCTCTAGATGAAGAGTTATAAGAATTAGATATTGACGCTGACGCGCCCCGACCCAAAGGCGTGGCCTGCACATCAGCCAGATTTTTCAGGCGATGGCGGGTGAAGAGGGCCGAGTGCTGCAGCTTTTGCTCATGCGAAGGCGCAGAAGCATAGAAGGCCCACAGCAGTCGGGGGTCCACAGGAGGCACATGGGAGTCCCTAGAAAGGGCATCGGGAGTCCACCATGAGTGCCAAATGTCTGCAGGGGCTCCGCAGCGCTTTTGGGGGGCGTTCAGAGGTGGCGGGTCCAGAAGGTCCATAGGGAGTCCTTAGGGAGGCCTACAGGAGGTCCACCCTTCTCCCCTTCTTGGGGTGCTTGGGAGAGAACGTTGGCCGCCAGGAAGGGGGATAAGGCGGGGTCGTGGGCAGATAAATGAAATATTTTGCCTTTGCCACGCCAAAACCTGTCCCCCTGTAGCATGCTGTGGCCTCTCAGCCCGTAAACCCTTAAACACATCGAAGGCCAAACCCTACAAACCCCAAGCCCTAAACCTGCAGGCAAGTTGAAGCTCCGAAAGCCGCTCCTCACAGGTGATGAGTCATGGCGCGCGCCTCGTTTGCTCAAACATGGGAAGAGAGAGGCTCCAGACTGGTCGAGGGCTTTAGGGCTTAGGGCTTGGGGCTTCTTGTTTAGGATGCTTGGCTTTCAGGGTGTTTTGTCCGGGGCAACTGATGCGTACGCCACTAGAGATTTGGTTTTGCTCGCCGCAAGGATGCTGGGGGGATCTCCATTTTTAGGTTCTCTGGGTAGGACCTTGGGATATTTAGTATGTCCTCTTTTTGGGGGTTTTAGAGGATTATGTTGAGCAATATTTTCCTCGAGGGTTTACAGGGGCCAACCTAGCAGTCTTCAGGTTCCCTGCACCGTCACCCAAGTACCGACTGAGCATGGCCTAAACAGCACGAAGACCCCAAGCCACTGTCAAGCCTTCCTCCAGTGAAGAATGCTACCCGCTTCCCTGGAATTCGAAGAAGAACCTCTGTATGTGTGCTGAAGAATGTTCTTTGAGATCGGCTAGTTCACGCCCACAAGGCGGAACCAAAGGGCTTGCTTCACGAAGCCTCGATGTTCGGAAGGAAGGACAAGGCCCGTAGCCAATCACAGCACCCAGGTTCACCTTCGACAACCGACGCCTCTACTGCTACTTGCCTTTAAGTCATGCTGCCCCACACCTTTTTCGGTTTGTGAGCGGCAACTGCACGAGACCCAAGATCCGACACCCCGGAACCCTACATCTGCCTGCAAACCGTATCTATATACCCTTGGCCCCTGAAATACAAATTAAGTCCTCAGATCCAAAACCCTAGAACCCTTCCTAAACCTTACCGTCATCATGAAGCCCTATGTCCAAAGCCTCACACCACCCTAAACCTGAAACCCTAACCCCTAAACCCTAAACCCTGACGTTCATCCCCGAGGTCTCCAACGAGCTGCGCTCGAACATTGGCCGCGCACCACCGCGGTGGTCGTGAAGGAGGGGCTGCCAGGGCAGCCGGAGTGCTTCAGGTTTTGGAGCTGTTTTGGGGTTTTGGGGTTTAGGGTTTTGATTTTTTTTACGGATCACACAGGGCGACTTCAGCAGGCAATCCTCACACCGAGCATGCCAAGAATGTAGCAGGAATGCAGGAAGAATATGGGTACAAGAGTCCTTCTCGACTATGTCTGCTATTTTGCTGGTTGGTTTCCCAATAGGTTGTCTTTTGCTGAAGATATTGAGGGTGCTTCCCTGGCCTGTATATCGGATCCATGGTTTGGATTTGCTCGGGTTTTGCCGAAGGGTTTGTAAAAAAACGTGCTAGTGGCTCAATGGTGTCAATCTAAACCCTAAACATCCCTAAACACTAAACCGAAGTCTTTCCTGTCTGGCCCCTGTCTGACTGGGAAGGTCCTTTTCGACATGCCAGACGTCCGCAGCGCGCGGCACAAGCCCAGCAGCCAGGGGAAAGTCGGACGAGAAACGTAGCATTGGGAGCTTTCTGGCCTTGCAGCATTGTCTGTTGCTTTCAGGCGGTCATCTGGGGCTTGTTCCAATATTACGGTCTCCTTCTGCCGAAACCCATTGAAAGCAATCACCTAACAGAGCCTGTTTCGCCTTGCAGTCGTGACAATCTCTTGTCTTTAGGATGGTGGCGTGGACGTCTTGTAGCAACAGATGCGCGGTAGTACTTTGCATAAGCCGCAGCTCTCGACGATTTAGTAGGGGCAAACCGGAGCATTTCGAGTTCCTGAGAATTTCGAGTTTAGATCAGTTACAAGATTGTATGGCTCAGCCCAGACCGAAAATTTTCGGGTTTGGCTAAGCCCAAATGTTCTACAACTCGAAAACCTTGAGCTTGAGCTAAAAGCGAAAGCATGAAGATTTCGCTACACCAGGTTTCGCAGCACCAGTGATGGTCGCTCCATCAAAGTATCGCTGCCCGGCTGTGGTTTCACTTTGGGAACTCCGAAGCTGAAACCTCTAGCGCCACGCAACGCGAGCTTCGCAGCTCTCTGCGATGGTTGCTACGTAGCTGGAGGGTGGGAGAAGGCTCCCTGTGGCTGCCTAAGCTGCTAAGCATTCCTGAGGCATAATGATGGATCTCTTCACTTCACCTGGTGCTGGGAGGAGGTGCATCTTCAGCCTCTTCGATGGGCCTTACCACTGGCAAAAGTTTTTCGAGAGCAGGTCGGTGCAGAACTCACAAGAGCATTGCAGCATGCTCGCGCAGATAGGAAGCACCGCAAGATGTCACAAAGTTTCAGGCTTGAGATGTGCTTGTGCTTGGCAGCCATCCCAGCTCCGATGTAGCCCTGGGAGCTGTGCGCCACCGTATCTTCATGTCCGTGTCGACCCAAGTCCCGCTGTCTCTGGTCAGTACGGCAAGACTGGGATAGAAGACATGTTGCTCTATGGGAACTGTACAAGTATCGCATGCGCATGCATGTGCGTGCCGGACCTCCAATAGACTGCAATAGCTTTAAGGCAACGTCTGGCCAGGTCAATGGTGTGTACACGGCGTGAGACCCCAACACCCCCCATGTGCTCAGACGCCCCCAAGGACAACTGAACCGAGCTTGGCAAACTTAGAGAGATCCTTGGTGGCACAGGTGGGTTGCTCTGGGGCAACACTTCAGGGTTTGAGATGGACCCTGACCGTTTTCATAAGCCCGTTGCCGTTTGATTGAGCAGGGTCTTGGTGCTTCTTTGGTTGAGGTCTTCGCGTCCAGTAGGAGGGCTGCCCAGCTGCACAGTATGAAGCTCGGTAGCGGTGGTATATAGCGATTCCACATCAGCCAGCTGAGGACTTGAAAACAATCATTGCGATGCGACGCAACCTCAGTCGCGCAAGCGTGCCAGCTTCGTTGTACCAGGGAGTTTGCTTGACCTCAGCACCAGCTCTTGCAAGAGAGCATACTGTAACGTACAATAAGTAGGGTCGTATCCCTAAAAGCCCCCCCCCCCCCCCGCCGCCATATGATATGTACACCCACCAATAATTACGAGGAACCCCATGCACACGCACCAAAAGCACAAGAATCAAGCCCTCATTGTCACTTAGTCGCTTCAAACCCCCTGCCCCACCCCAGAACACCACATGCCGCCCCTTTCGATACTGGTAGGACCTTGGCGAGTTTCCCTGGTTTTTAATACGTGGAAGAGGGTCATAGCTAGGAGTGTTTTTCGCAGGGTTTACAGGGCCAACCACCCTAAACCCTAAACCCTAAGCCCGCAGCCCTCAGCCCTAAACCCTAAGCCCTAAACCCTAAACCCTAAACCCTAAACCCTAAACCCTAAACCCTAAACCCTAAACCCTAAACCCTAAACCCTAAACCCTAAACCCTAAACCCTAAACCCTAAACCCTACCGTCAACGCCTCAGAGGCGGTGCTGCCTTTGCTGCGCTGGTGGCCACGGCGGTGGCAGAGACTGGAGAGTGGGCAGTGGAGGCTTCTGAGACCCTACATCCCTACATCCTTGCATCCGGAAACCCAAGGTTTAGAGGGTTTGGGGTTGAGGGTTTAGGGTTTAGGGTGAATCCTAAACCCTACCAGTGTTCGCAGCGGCAGGGCTTTGGGCTGCAATTATGCTACAAACCCTAAACTCACTTTGACAGTCTTTGTCGAGGGAAGTAATTCGCAGCAGAAGTTTCGGGTTTAGGGTTTAGGAGGATAGCTGGTGGGACTTTCTTGTGTAGGTGCCGGCGCCAGAAGAGTTTCCGGAGCCTCTGCTGTTGCTGCAGGCGCTGGGTGCGACACGCTAACTGACTCTGCACTTTCCTTGCTGATCGCAAGGTCTTGCTGATGTGAGGATCTTACACTGCGTACCCGAGACACACTCTGACACATCCTGACGCCCCTAGTCTCCAATGTGGCAGTCCCTTCTCCCCTTCTTCTCCTCAGCCTCCTCCCATGACCTGACCCAAACTTCCACTATCCTGCAGGTGCAGTATAGACTCACAAGCTCCGAGGACCGGATTTTCAGGGACTTGGGACGGGAGTTCCTAGGCTGGGAGGGGGATCTGAGCCTTCAAGTGGTCATGACAACAACATACTGAAAACTCAGAATGCAGAGCGCATCCCTTTGCTACTGTGATGTGCCGCCGTTGAATTTGAGCAATATCTGCACCGACAGTAGTGATTTGCCCAGACGCGCCACCGTCACCCACCATCTGACCGGTTCGTTCAGTGTGGCATCCACGTCACTGCGACCCGAGACCTGAGGATGAGCCTTCCAGACGAAGACCACGAGTTGATTGAGGGTTATTTGCAGTGTGGCTATTCTTGGGCTGGTTGCAAAACTCTATCTGGGGCTCGCAGGTTCTCAACCTCATGCCGCAACCCTGCTTCCCAAGCATAAAGCAGCCACTGCTGCAGCTGGCAGGAAAAGTCGGGGAAACCTCATCCAACACAGAAGGAAGTGACAGATCATGAGGACGTCGGCTGCAGTCTTATAAACAAGGGTCGCTGTTGCTCCTTGGGCTGTATTCCATGGAAGGTGGTCACATGGCACCATTGCACAGCATGATACAGCTGGGTGGGGGTTCGCTCAGATGTTCGGCTCCATAGACATTTAAGACTGTTAGGACTTTTTTAGGGCATGCGGTGTTTAGGGCTTAGGGTGTTTTTGGCGCCTGCTCTTTTCGAGACAAGTTTCCTGCGCCTGCATTGAGCAATAGAGACGATGAACCTTTCTTCTGGAGGAAGTGGCCGAGGAGGATTCCGCGTCCTTCCTACAGAGTGAGCAGGACAGGAGCATGAGCGTACGAAGCCGTGGCTTATCGTGGCTTGAATATGCATGTTGTGGATTGGAAGTTCATTTTTGCCGGGTTTAGGGTTTAGGGTTTAGTGTTTAGGACAGATCAACAACGAACAAGAACTCGAAGAACAGCTTCCAACTGGAGGAACGCATCCACACTGTGAGCAACAGCCCACGAAGTCGCTCTCACTTTCGCCAGTATTGTTTTTTTTTGAGGCCCGGCAGTAGAGTTCTCATGTCTTCAAGATGGATGGTCCTAAACCCTCAAGACTTGCTGCCCCGCACCTGACCATCCCAGGCTTTGCAAACCGTTCTCGACCGAAACCCTAAACCCTAAACCCTAAACCCTAAACCCTAAACCCTAAACCCTAAACCCTAAACCCTAAACCCTAAACCCTAAACCCTAAACCCTAAACCCTAAACCCTAAACCCTAAACCTAAACCCTAAACCCTAAACCCTAAACCCTAAACCCTAAACCCTAAACCCTAAACCCTAACCCTACCCTAACCCTAACCCTAAACCCTAAACCCTAAACCTAAACCCTAAAACCTAAACCTAAACCCTAAACCCTAAACCCTAACCCTAAACCCCTAAACCCTAAACCCTACACCCTAACCCTAAACCTAAACCTTGAGACCTTCCAGAGATTTCAAAAATCGAAGCCTCCGTGCTTGCCCAGGCCGGGCCGGGCATTGGGGGGGGGGGGGGGGGGGGTGAAGGTGCGACTTCAGGGTTTAGGGTTCAAGATTCTAAGGATGATGGGACGTACATAGGGCCATTTTCAACAAGATTGGATTTTTCTGGTTTATACGTTGATTGTATGGGATTAACGGAGGCATGATCTTGCTAGCGATTTCGGCTCCTGCATCACGTCTGTAGCCCTGCTTCTGTCCGAACCCCTCAGCCAAAGACTGTTCCAGGAACCAGTGTTTCACCTTTGTGCTGGCTATATTAAGCCCTAAACTTCTGCGTGCTAAAGGGGAGAACCGTCCCAAGACAGCCTCCTAAAGCCAAAATGTCAACTTGCACGAGAACGCTCGGGATTCGGGTTTCTAAACACTAGCAAACCCTAGGCCCTCAGGGTTTGAGGACTCGGAGTGCCCAAAGAAGGCTCCTGAGAAGTGTGTGTGTGTGTGTGTGGGTGTGTGTTCAGAGCATTGCCCCCCCCTTGAATAACTTAAGTTGACCCCGAAAGCACTACTCCCCAGTGGGAGGTCACGTGGGTGGATTTTGGCGGCCTCAGTCCTGAGTAAACACTGGTGGCTGTGAGGCTCCTGCGACTGCACATGGTGACAGCCAGCCATCGCAGCTCGGAGAATTAGAGCTGGCAAAGACGTGCCTGATGCGGCTGCAGTTACAAGGGCTCAGAGGCTCAGAGCCTTCAAGAACTGCAAAGTTCGCCACTCTGAATCCGGCTGAGGGTGCTCCTCCAGTAAGCAAAACCTGCTTTCCCTCCAGCCTCTGTGGCATTTCTGGGGATTGCATGGTTTCTCTGCGTAGATGTCAAGCCTTCCCAAGAAGCCACGGTCAGTTGAGGTTGCAGCATCTTTCGATTGCAGCCGCCCTGCTGATGAGCAGGAGACTTTTTCACTCCTGTACGGTCCCTAGTATACCACCCCCCCCCCCTATATATTGATATGTACAGTCCTGAGAGATCCGCTCCAAAAGGGATCTTGCTTCTCCCTATCAAAAGGTCGATCTTGGGCTTTCCAGGGCTCATTGGGTTT